TCAGAGTGTCCGAGAGCGTTCCCGCATCCGAAACCGGAGGCGCTGCAGGGCGGCAAAGGCCCATCTAGGCGAGAGCGTGCAAGGTGCGTTCGCGTCGGCTCGCTGCGTCGTCGGGCCCGGGTTGGTGGCTTCGCCAATGCGCACGCCGAGGGCGGGGTGCTGGGGTGGCTCTGCAGGCTCAATGGGCAGTGGAAACACGCTGCATTGCTTTTTAGGTCCGCGCCAAGAAGCTTGTTGCGAGGGTGTCTGTAAATCTGCACGCACCGTTTACGACTGCGCAAGAAAGTCCGGTCCCCGGGCACGCTGCAAACTACGGCAGGCGGCTCGGGATGGCGGGGGCTGCTGCATCGCGCAGGACGTCCCCGAGCGTGGGAGCTGAGAGCCGGGCATGGCCCCAGCGATGTACGGCGTGCCGAGCAGTGTTGCAGCAAGTGTGCTTTGCAAAGCAACACTGAGCAGGCACCACTAAGGGCGCAGCCAGCCCTGGGCAGCGGCACCGCGCAGGGCAGCAGGAGCGCGCTGGGCGCGAAGCCGCACCAGTTGCGTGACCAGGCGGTGCGATTCAGAACTCCAGCGTCCGCCGGCCTTGCACGCGAGGCTGCAGAGGTGCTGGCGCCCCGGGTGCAGCAACTCGAGCTACTCTGCGCGCTTGCACCGCTCAGCGACAGCGATCATGGCACCGTCACGCGTCGCGGCAGAAGGCTGAGGGCGCCTGTCGCGTGTCAGCGGGGACACGAGAGAGACGTCGCAGCACAAGGCTTCCCCGAGCAGGGTAGTCGTACGGGTTGGCGGTGCAGCACATGTTTTCGACAGCGACAGCAAGAACGGAACTGGCAGCAAACGTGACCACTGGATGACTTCCTCGGCGTGCGGTACCGTGCTGAAGCACGTAGCCAAAACAGCATGCTCTCAGGCTCCATGGACGGCGACAGCAGCAGGACCGGTGAACACGTGATGATTTTTTTTTCGGAAAGGAGCGTGGTGAAGCACTCTCCAACCACCAGGGGGCAGCCACAGCGAACCTTTGAAAACTTAGTCCTGTTTCTGCCAAGCAGCAAGCCAATGAAGCTGGCAAAGTGGCAGACCTGACCGTCGTGCATCCCTCCAGCTGTTCACTGCAGACGACAAGTGAACCTATGGCAGCGCAGACTCGGTCTAGCCAACGTATAGCTTTTCATGCCACATATAGAAACAAGGGGTTTGTGCAACAACAACAACAACAGCAGCAAGCACTCTAATGTTGCCATTGCCAGCACCAGGGGAGCCGCGCATCGCGCAATATCGCACATCAGTGTCGGTCCTGACAAAAGGGCGTTCGGGAAGGAACCCCTTAGGCACACAATGGGGCCGGACAATCGAGCCTTCCCAGCACAGGGGTGCGCCCAGCAATTGCCAACATGACCTGAAAGCCCACGGACATGAGCGAGGCGCACACCATCGGGGATCCCGCTCCACACGCGTCGTGCTTCAATGGTAACATGCACATGCTGTCATATGCTGTCTCGACGAAAAGTTCTTCGTGATGACGCTCAAAGCCCACAAGCTATCGGTGGTAATGAAATTACAGTAACGACCACACAAGCTTGGGCCGCGCATCCGAAAGGCATGAGCAGTGGGCAAACACGGTATTTTTCAGCCGAGTTCAAGCAGGTCAAGCCACAAGCGGCATTTCCACAAGCCGGGCATGATTCACCAACACGGGTCGGACGACACATATGTCGTCGCGAAACCAGAAAGGATACGTGAGCTGTACGATGCCTTCCGCGCCGCCTTGTGGCGACATGCCCATGTCGAGCTCAATCGTGGCTAGCAGGGCCTCGTCGTTTCGTTGCACACCCCGCTTGGTAGCCCCGAGCACGACAGGCTCCTCATGTGCACCCCGGCAGTCGAGAACCTGCAGTCCGCCTGGCTCTCATTGCGCGGTTGTGCATGCCCTCACGCACTCGGATACTTCCGCCGGCCGCCACGTTGCCCCTTGCTGCAGCCAAGGTGCCGGTCTCACATGCTGAGTTTTGCGGATACACCGCTGTCTGCTGCTGCTGCGCGCACCGCCCGTCTGCCGCTGCAACGCGGAGGGTGGAGTCTGAAGAACCGCCTTTCCTGGTTCGACACATTCCCCGAGCTCTGGGACCGGCGCTTGCAGCAGCCGAGCAGTTCACACTGCCTTGCTCGCCAACCCTCCCTCAGGCCGGCCGAGTGCCAACCTTGGCGATCCTCGGCGACAACACTGCCGTGCTTCGTGATGCTGGGGCGGTGGCCGGCGAAGATGCTGGTGAGGCTGGCAGCGCCGGGCCAGTTGGGCCTGTGATGAGCGCATGCTCGAAACGCGGCATCTCGTGCCCTGCTGCTCTTCCAGGCCGGGCCACACTCAGGCCGTGTGTTTACGGCCCTCCCAACTTCGGATGACGCCACCTCGCACTTACTGTTGCTTCGTCGGCTGTGTTTGCCCTTGGTGCTTTGCTATGCTTTGCCCCCGCACACGCTATTGCGGTCGAAACCTCGACCCTTGCAACGAACACCGAGCCACCCGTGCCACCTCGGGCGTCGCTCGTGTTTGCCGCCAAACCGGAAGCCCTTGTCGCACGCAATGTTCACGTCGCTGACATGGATATTGATGCGCCCTTCAGCGACGCAAGGCGGATCGAGGTCGCAATGGCTTCCTCTGTGGCACGGAGCCCGACTCGCCATCGATGCTACTCTTGTCTCCCCGCTTTCTCGTGGAGGCTTGCCGCATCTCGGGTTGTTTTGGCCCGAGGATGGCTGCGCAAACGCCGGCTGACTTACTGTGAGATGCTCCGTGCTCGCCGCTGCCGCCTTGTCGTCTTCGGCATTGAAACTAGAGGCCGCTGGAGTGAGGAAGCATGAGGAAGCCGCCACCTTCCTCACGCTGCTGGCACGAGCCCGTGCAGCCAACGCGCCTGCCCTACGCAACGCCGTGCACGCCACATGGGTCAACTGCTGGACTGGCAGACTATCTGTTGCTGCCCAGCGAGCTTTCGCTGTTTCCCTCCTTGAGCTCCCTGCGGCTGCAGGGCTCAGCTCGGTGCTGCTGACGATCCGCCTACCTTGCACGAGGTGCCAGAAAACGCACGCTGGTTGACAGGCGCCCACCAACAGCCGCCCGCCGGCGCGTCCCGCTTGAGCACCCTTGTCCCATGCCATGTAGTTTGTTTGCAATGGGACCTGGACTCCCCTCGCGCAGTCCCAAAAAGGTGTGTGGAAAAAAGTGCACGGTCGTCTGTAACCAGGCTGGGCATCACCCACCCGCGTAACGGGCTGACGATGGTGACATCGACAGCTTGCTGCGTGCCATGCCACAGGGACAACCCGTTCGTTCAACCTTACAGAATCAAGGTGCGCTGAGCCCCTAGCTTCCGGCCACGATACGGAGGCATCACACACCATGCAATACAGCAGGGTCGCCGAGTCGGTGCCATAAAAGCCGTCAACAGGTCCATCCACGAACGCATCGCCACCAGTTGTGCCTTCGCCGCCTTCGCCGCCTCGCGCGCGCGCGCGCGTGTATGAAGATCGTGATGGAGGCGACTTGCTCTGCAAATGCAGGAGGTTTCCTGGCATGGCTCCTCGTAATGCAATATGAAATTGACTAGGGCTAGGGGCCTGCAAAATCGTCGAATCTCTTTCTGCTCCTCGCGTAAGGTCCCTCGGGATTCGCTGCGCGCGATCGGAATCGAGAGCCGCGTCAGACTCGCAAGATCCCGGGGCCCCATTTCAGCAGGAGAAAATCAAAAGCCCTCGCATCAACATGGCACATGTTGTGAAGCGAGTTTGCAGGTGTCATAGAAAGCGGTTTCGTGCTTCATGCTGACCCGCCACTCCTCGAATCGATGCCTGAATCACAGCATTTCCTAGGCATCAAAGAGATGAGCACCTTGTCACGGCAAAGTCACGGCAAATAGGATCATTGATAAAACCCGTGATGCCAACAAGCCAGTTTGGGGTTGGCAAGTCTCGACTATCCGAAGAGTGTGACCATGTTGATTGGCCTGCGATATGGCAAGCTTTTGCAAACCATTGTGTTTCGCAGCACCTCATGTTTGTTGTTGCTTTCGCATAGGTGTTGAGAAGCGTTTTTCCGTGAAGGTGCTTACAACAGGATGGATGGATGAATGGATGGATGGCAGGATGGAAGATGGAATGTGAGGTTGTCCTGAGGTGGATGGATGGCATGGACAAGCCTGGCAGGAGTCGTCGCGCCCCCTGAAATCGTCTTGTGCCATGCAATGCACGTGCGCTGCCGTTGCGATTCGTGTTCGGCATGGACTTGACAACCCATGCCGTTTCCACCGCAATTCCTACGAGCGCGGCGCCGCTACAATTCGTGTTCGGAATCTCCGCTGCGCGTGATCCGGAAAGAGCGATTCATTGCTGCGCGCATGGTGCCTTTACGATTCGTGTCCGGGATTTGACAACCCTGTCCAAAACACCTACACGAAAGTGCTGCGAACCCTTTCGGTGCTACCGGCACGACGAAAAGACAACGAGGCGCACTGGATGGCGCACTGGAACACGAAACACGTTGACCCAAAACGCGACGACGCGCTCGGGCAACTTCTGAGGCACAAGGACCATGCAAGAGAGACTCCACGACATACAAGGATGAAACATGACGAAACGGCCATATGGGCCATGCCAATGCGACACAGTGCACGCTTCGCGGATGCTGTTCGGGTTCCCCAACGAGCTCTTTGTTGTCAAATTCAACCTGCCCTCAAGCCTTGAACTTGGACCCGTCTGCAAAGTGTGCGGCCGAACTGGGGAGTGTGCCCTTCATGAAGCTTTTTGACGGATGAAAACAAGCGTCGGCCGCTAAAATCTTAAGCATTCTGCGTCTCTTGTGCGCAGGAACGTGTGTGGAACAGATCTTCATGACCAGGTCTTCCCGCAGCGGAAACAAATCCTCTGCCACAGTGTGAAACTTCCGTCAAGCGGGGAAGCCCTGTCTAGCGCCGAATTAAAGTGCCAGCTGGAACGCCAATTCATGCAAACACGGTATCGTTGGAGCCTTGGGGCAGGCAGTCTGAAAAAAGGGACGACTTCCTCCACAGCCCTGGGCACCCTGCTCGCAGCCTGCGAAAGCATCAAAACAGGTGTCTGCTCCTTAGTCCACAGCTCTGCAAAGTGGCCCTCCCCCGACGCCAACCAAAAACCGGGGCGGTGGCGACTCCTTGAAAATGCTCCTTCAGTCCAACAGTGATCGCCTCCATGGCCTCGCAAGCAGGGAACAGTTTCTGAGACGCAGAGGCAGATTGTGGCAGTGTGCACTCTGCCTGCTGCTGCTGGCCGACCTCATGCCAAGCCGAACACGGCCGGACTCTGACTCTGTCACGCCGGTGGACCGGTGCTGCTCACTCGGCATGCCTTTTTGGTCCGCGCGGACCGACCGACCGCGCGCGTGCGCACGCATGTGCGATGGCATCGAGCTCAGCGCTCTTGTGCTGCATTGCTCTCATCTGAATGGCAGCTTAAGGAGAGACCTGGCTTCTGCCCTGTCTCTTCACCCTGCACAGGCAACGACTTCTGCACGCCCAAACAGATTATCCTCTTTGGCATTGGTGAAACAGGCGAAAGAGCACCTCAGCACACGTGCTGGGTAACAGCACAGCACAGTTAGACCATCCGGTGGTTCAGCCTCTGTACTTGCCTGAACAATGCAGAGCCCTGCCTCTTCCGTCTAGCCACGCAACAGAAACATGGCCAGCAGGATCGGTGCCAACCTGAAGCCATTGGGACGGTGAATAAGTTGACCTTCCGATCTTTTCTTCAGAGGAAGGCTATGCCGGCTGTGCTTACTGTACGATGTCAAGGATTCAACACGATCTTCTCGGCACCGAGCCGGCCGGCATCTGCGGCGTCCCGTGGAACATCAACCTGTTGACACGCGGCGGTGGAAGGGCTCAGTTGAGGCAAAGAACTCCGGCCCGGCGCCTGCTCCTGCTGCCCACCTTCGCCTTGCTGGCCCTGGCCCTGCTGGCCCTGCTGGCCGCCCGGTTGACCGCCTGGCTGGCCCTGCTGGCCTGGCGGCCCGCCGCCCTGGAAAAGCTCACAAGCTTTGTGATGCGTCGCTCTCCTGCATCTTGGGCACCCTCAGACCGGGACCGGCGGTGGTGGCAGCTCCGATTGCCAGACTGTCTGACTGACACAGGTGCGTGTCTGGAAGGAGAAGGCAGTACCTCCCAGGCATTGACCAGCATTGCTTATGGGGCCGCAAGTGCTTCAACCCCTGGGCCTTGGTGGCAACAGCAGTGCTTCTCGCCCGCCAGTGGCACCGTGCACTTCTTGGCATTCTTCGTGGAGCAGCCTCAGAGCAAACAGCTGCGCCGCTAGGAGCAGGAAGCCGATCGTTTTTTCACGTCTTTCTGAGGCAGCTTCCGAATACTCCAGGCGAATCGATAGATGGTGGGATGACAAAGTTCCCTCACAGCGCAGTCAGGTGAACTTGGCTGCCTTCAGCCTTTGCTTTCGGTGGCTGACGCGCCTTTCTCAGCGGCATACCGTTGGATGTTCTGCCAGGCATTTGGTGGTTTGTCCTGTTCCTTGGCTGGTACTGGCTCCGCCTCTGCTCGAGATGGACTTATGAAACCAGCCAAGCCGGGTATCGTAGCTCACGCACTCACCACATCTATCCTTCCCAATCTCGTACTGGCATGCGCGGTGGCAGCAGTACTTCTTGGGGTGGGTCACACACCTGCCATGTTGGGAAGCTCAGACAGAGCTGAAGTGAGCTCTTCATTCACGAAACCCGCTGGCAGGACTTGGAGGCTTGACCTACTCTGTGAAGAAGGCCCCACTTCTCGCTTCCTGGCACCGGGTCCTCATCGAACGGGCAGCCGACAACAGCGCATGCGCAAAGCTCCACGGCAGCTCACAGCGCGAGCCCAAAGGGGCGCCTCCACGTCTGACGGATCGCCCTTGTTGGGCACGCACGCGCGCTCCGGGAAGCTCCAGATGAAGCCTGCCAAGATGAGGCAGTAGGCAGTGCCTTTTTAAGAACTGAAGCTAAGTCTAAGTCATCCCTGTCCAGTTCAAGCAAGAGCCGACCTGGCCTGAGTCGCAGCAGCAGAAGTGCTGTTGCCCCTCATCTTTGCAAGCAATCGCATTCTTTTCGGTGCACCCTCGCACCCCGTCGTGATCGACTCCGTCGGGTATACGCCAGAGCCCTGCGAGAGACAGGAGAGCTTGGACTTGGACAATTGACCACTGCATGGTTCACCCAAACTGACATTCTGAGTCCAGCTGCTTGTGGAGTTTTGGAAGTCCTGTATCTCCGCTTCCACGGTCTTGACTGTGTCCTGAGTCGGCCGCAGGTGTATATGCAGTGAACCCACTGCAACACAGGAACGCCAAGCGGCAGTCGCGGCTGTTGCTTTCAGGCACTGATCCTGGTTAGCCAGAGCGAGTGATTGAAAGTGATAACCAGAGAAGCAAAACCAGCTTCCGACCTTCTCTGCGTCGAATTTGGATCCACGGTCGCAGCACCACATCTTCTGGCCATTCGTCGGGCACTCATGGGCATTATCCTTTGTGTGGGTGATGCCCCACCTGCAAGCAGCAACGCATTGAGACGTCTAACAACAAATCCAACAGCACACAAGGATCAGCGCTTAAGCTGAGGCACTTCTGGGAGCCCGGAATTGGCTCCGGCACGGCCGGAGGGGGAGGAGCTGCCTGGTGAGCAGCGTGGCCATCGTCGCCACCGTGGCCGCCATGGCCGTCGCCACCATGGCCGCCGTGGCCGTCGCCACCGTGGCCGCCATGGCCGTCGCCACCGTGGCCGTCATGGCCGTCGCCGCCATGGCCGTCGCCACCGTGGCCGTCACCGCCCTGGTGGCCGTCGCCAACGTGACTGCCATGGCCGTCGCCGCTGTGGCCGTCGCCGCTGTGGCCGCCATGGCCGCCGTCACCGTCGTGGACGCTATGGCCGTCACCACCGTGATGACCGCCGTCGCCCCCGTCGCCACCGTGGCCGCCATGGCCGTCGCCACCGTGATGACCGCCGTCGCCACCGTGGCCACCGTCACCGTGGTTAGCAGGAGGAGGACCGCCGTCGTGCTGCTGCCCAGCCTTGTCCTAACACCCAAGAGCCCATGCACTTTCAACAGGACATCAACGTTTCTTTGTGCATCCCGGCAGCAGGCTCCATGATTGTCGGCTGGAGGAGATCTCTACTCTCCGGACCTGATGCACTTGAGCGGGTGCGGTGCAGAAGTTGCCTACGTTTCTATGAATGCCCTGGTGTTATAAGAATCTTAGCAGGCTACAGCTGGGCTTGCATGTAAGAATTTCCGGCCAGGGCCAGGGCATGTTGGCTTGCGTTTTTTTTGCATTTGCTGTTTGCGTTATTTTGCGCCTTGCATGTTTTTTGCATGTGTTGTTTGCGTTTTTTTTGTGTTTGCTGCCCTGTCTGAGTTTAGCGTTGCGTTTTTTTTGCATTCCCGTGGACCGAGACGGCCGAGGCCCTGCAAAATGCAAAAAGAATGCACACGTAAATGCTGAGAACGACCAAAATTGCAAAAAAAAAAAAATGCAATCCTGAAAGCCGCGGCCAGCCAAAATGCAAAAAAAACGCAAGCCGGGAAACCGTGGCCGGCCAAAACGCAAAAAAATGCAAAAGTTAGCGGTCATTACCGAAACCACCAAAACACCAGGGCCTGGTGTTCGAGGCGTTTTTGACGCCAGCAAACGTCTGGCATGTACAACCGAAAACCGAAAATTATAGCTTTCGATGCTGCTGGTGGCTGCCAGTTTATGATCTAACTTCACGGTGTTCACAGTTCGGAGGGGGCATAAAAGAAAGCCAACAGAAAGCCCTTCTGTCTCGAGCATTGAAACTTGTTACGAAGTCGCAGGGCAACGCTCTCGACTCGCTACCGGCAACTTGGAGCGCGGCGAGCAGAGAATATGGAGCATGGGACGAGAAACCATATCCTTGCATGATGCAATTTGCCGCATTGCACGGGTTACGTGACTCACATGACTCGCTTCTTCCGGAGACTCTATCACCTGCTGCAAGGTCGCAGGCATAGGTCGCGCCAATGCCTCATGAAGTCCTTGGCAAATGCTCAGGCGTCTCGCATCATGTCCTGTGCCATCTACGAGAGCCCAAAAGAACCCAAATCAGGCAAGACTCTCACGGAACATGGAGTTAGCAGGTCGACCCGGCACTAGCTGGAGACTGCAGCCCATATGCTGCTGGCACAAGGACGACACTTTCCCGCGGCATCGAAAGCGCTTCCGCCCGTCCACGGGCCAGGGGGTCTTTCACAGCGAGCATTGCACAACAGTCCGAGCAGCAGGCCGTGCATTGAAGCTTTCCTGCGGCCAGCGCCTCTGACACTCTTCGCAAAAGCACGCTTAGAGCAGCTTATAGAGTTTAGAGCACGATCCGCCTGCCTTCGCGAAGGACCAGGTGAAAGTACCCTGCACGGTCCTGGCAGAGATTCTCGCATGCAGGGCTCTCTTGCACAAGCAAGAGCAGTCTGGGAGTTCGCATCCGACGGTCCGATTGGAGCCAGCGATCTTAGGAGCACGCAGCGACAAGCACAGCACGCGAGCAGATGCGAGCAGAGCACACCTCAGACCTCAGATCGTCCCTTCAACGCGGCGGCAGCGCCCCTCCAACGGGAGCTCCGAGGGCCACTCCTGGAGCCTGCGGAGACTGCAGAGAAGCGAAGAAGCTGATCCGGACCGGACCAGTGGGCCTGGAGGCGCTGAAGACGTGCAGGCGACAGGACGGGAAGGTCTGCGGGCGCCAGACCTGCGGCAGCCTGGCGACGGGGAAGCGCTGCTCACTGCTGCTCCCGCCGGGCGGCTCGAAACTCGGCCGGCGCTGCGTGTGCTGCACCGGCAGCGGAGGCAGCTCCAAGAACCTGCCGAAAAAATTCAACAGCTCGGCCATGCCTGCATCAGCCTCCTAGCTCCGAGTGGGCTCCGCCCGCCTCGGCCGGCTCACGAAGTCGAAGAGCCTCTCGTAGTCCACACCTCGAAACCGCGTTTAGAAGTGGGAGCCCTCCCTCCGAAAGCTCTGCCGTGAGAAAACACAGGTGCCCCGAGGTGCCGGCGACCTCGCGTGACCCTTGGAAAGGTCGGTGACAGGTTGCAGCTTGGGCTCACGCCTCATAGCTCAGAGTGAGGAAGTGAGGAAGGGGAAAGTGACGAGGACCGCGGACATCCGAAAACATCCGAGGGCCGGACCCGGAATGATCGGATAGGAGCAATCCAGGATGGTCGTCAGTGCTGGCAGAGCACAAGGCAGTCCGGCATCTCTCGTTGCGACTGGGCTCTGAGGCGTAGGCTGGCTCCAGCGGGGATCTGGGTGATGAACCGGTTCAACCTCAAGGAAGAACGTCACCAAGGTCTGCACGGGGGTGCTCCGAGCTTTGAGGCATGGGCTCAAGCATGGAGATGAGCCGGTAAGATGCCCCTGCTGGGGGCCCAGGAGCCTGGAAAGCGATACTCTGCAAACTCCGCTGCGCCGTGTCAGGCCACGCTTGAGCTCAGCACTGGGTTTCCGTTTGGCTGCCGGCCATTGCTCTGCCTTGGCAGATGCGGGGGACTCTCCCTGCCCCAAACACTTCCGCAGACTCCTCCGGTCGAGCAACACGGCTGAAGGTTTCTTGGCCTTCACACAGCGGCGGAACTTCAGGCATGCCGCCGGCCAAGCTTTTCTTAGCTCCCTGCCTTGGACCACCACTCCTCTGGCAAATCCTCGGCATAGTCGGAGGGCACCAGGTAAGCCTCGCAGTCCTTTCCATCGGCATCCTGCAGACAACACACGGCTGCAGGGACTCAAGTTTGTGCAGCTGTCCGAATTCTTAATCCTTCGGGTGCTGGGTGCCATATCCAGAGAAAGCCAGCACCAAACCTGGGAGAAAAGACCGGCAGCATGCCGTTCTCCAGAACACTTCTACCAGACGCTTGGAGAGCAGTGGGGATGTGGTGAGCCTGGAGGGCATTTTGGTCACCAAACCGAACACACGGATTTGCGGGTTACCTGGGTTGGTCTCTGATGGTCGGCGGAGTTTGTTCACCTTGTCGCAAAGTGCCAACGAGCGGCTGTCTCCAGGTTGCGCTCCGTCCATCAGCCTTACGATACAATATCAAAGGCAACAGCATGGCGTTGCTTACGTTTAAGTGCAGCTTTTTTCTGAGAAGCACTTGAAAGAGGCTCTCTTCGTGCTCCTTCGCTTTGTGCGCGCGCAGGCAGTCTCTATGCAGCCACTGGAAGCAGGCTCAAGGAACTTTGCTGCTTCTGAACTGGGCTGCAGCACCCTCCTTTGAGCGTGCGGCGAGCTGTAGAACCACAGGATTGAAATTCTGAAGGTGCCAGCTCGGAAGGAGCTAGGCCCCGGAGTCTCTAGGGACATCTAGCGACTATAGTACAGCTTCTTGTGTGTGTGTGTGTCACCGACGCGTGAATATCCGCGTTATCGCTGTCAGGCCTGCGACAGGGGGCGAAGCCGCTTCCTTCATACCCACAAGCACTGCCCCTTAGTCTTAGTCTCAGCTTCCCGGGTGCCGGCCTTCACTGTACTGCGAGTGCTTCCATGAGGAGGAGGACATTCCCTCAGGCCCAAGATTCCCGTTCACCAGCGTGACAAGGGCATCCGGCTCGCCTCGGCCAGGCCGTTTCGCTGGTCTTCGCTGGGCTTTGCTGACTTCTGCTTTGCTGCCAGGGCACGATGTGACTGCGCGTCTTCTCGCTCCAGATCCTGAATTCTGAACAGAAAAGCCCACCACTCCTTACAGAATCCTGGCCCCATCCCTGTGCAGAATGAATTGAGCCCTGTGCTCCGTCCGACTCAAGAGCAGACCCTCAATGGACTACACCAGAAACAATGTGGGGCCGGGGTTGGCAAGCGAGTGTGGAGCCTGAATCTTCCTCGCCAGCTCCTCATCGGAGAGGCCTTCGTCGGGGCTCGGCAAGCCTCCACTCGTTGCAAACTACGTGGCTGCTTGGACCCATAAGGGTCTGCGAAGCATTCAGCTCTCTGTTGCACTTGGATGCTCGACCAGAACTTAGCAGCTTTAGCATGCACCCGACAAAATCCTGGGAGTTCTGGGAAGGCTTCAATTGAAGCCGAGGTGGTGAGCTATAGAGGACCCAAACCCCCAAACCCGGGCAAGCGCGGCTGGGGCCTAGCTGTTCGCAGAGCAGGTTGTGCCGATGGGTCCGGAGGAAGCGCTGCAAGCCATCTGCTCCCAGGTTGCCAGCCCCAAATCCCACCCCGTCGGCTGTGTGTATCTGGGGATCGGTGTAGAAAGTACCAACACCCTGAATATCGCAAACCACCAAGAGCTTGTCGGAGATGATGTAGCTGAAGTAGGAAAACGCTGCTGCCACCTCGTCGTCTGTCTCCGTATGGCCAGCATTGTCACTGTGCTTCACATAATCGCCGGCCAAGTACGGTTCCAAACAAAGCGGCTCTTCAAATTCATCCATCTTGACAACGGATACTGGCAGGAATGCAATGCTGTAAGGCAGCCCTGCATGCGAGCACCACTTGTTGAACTCTTGTGCATAGCACTCTGCGACCATCTGGGTCATCGCCTCATGGTAGTTCACATCTGGGTCCAGCCCGCAGTGAGGCTTTATCCTCTTAAGGACCGCATCCACTTCACAGCCATCTTCCAACAGTTCCCGCGCGTGGTAGACCACTCCTTCCAGCTTGTCGTTCGTTGCTTAGGCATGAAAGAGGTTTGGCCTTCTTGGTTGAAAGGCGGGAAGGCTGGGCTGCAGCCAAGCATCGCATGCCACCCTCACTGAATGGCTCCGGGTCCAGGCGTATCCGCACAGGTTGCTCCTCCCAGCGGCCCTGCTCACAGTCATATGTGAACTTCACCGCCTGGTGCTCCCTGGGCTCCTTCGTCGGCATCAGGAAACCCCTGGCCCCTGGTACTCATATGTGAGCACACTTTAACTCGGAGCCAAAGAGAAGGCCAGGCAGAGGCAGATTCGAGCATCCAATCCGCAATTCCCACTTCACTCTGCTGGGTCGCAGGCCATTGGAAGCCGGATAGGATGTTGTCCTTGGAAGGAACCTGCAATCGGTGAATGAGGCGACTCACGCGACTGGACTCGATGCGACCCTCGTCAACGTGCACCTGCGACAGCTTGGCCGGCTCCCCGTCGTCCACAAGCAGCCGCACTTGGTCCTCCTCGAAGAGCAGCGACTGCCTGTCACGCAAGTGAACTGCAAAGCAAAGAACAGCTACGATGTGCTTGCCTCAATACCGCGTTGAGGTTCCAGGCATCGTTCACGGCACCCTTGAGTGGAGCATGCGAGCCTTGGCGAGTCTTCAGAGAGAATCTTTCCTCCGACACGGGGTAGCTCATGGCCTGCGTAGTTGACACCAATGATCAAGGCCTGCCGTTCAAAAGTACCAGAAACCACTGGTGTCTGAGACTGCCGGAAGGTCTGTCTTCACAACGAGCCCAGTCCGATCTCTGAATGCCTTGCGGCGAGCATTGGGGGAGAGCGGATTCCTCATGATATCTGGCCACCTGAGTCAAGCTCCTACACCTGACGGACCGGACAGCTACCACTGGATCTTGGGGCTGCACATAGTGCTCACTTCGCCCTTGCTGACTTCCTGTGGACGTCATCCACAGCACAACGTTTTTGATCTGCTGAGTTGCGGCACATCTGGTGCAAAGGTAAACTTCTTTCTCGCCGCGCTAGAGAGACAGCTCGTGCCCCCAGAAGAGGTCGTCGAGGTCAACATCTTCGTCACTCAGGGCCTGAGGGTCACAGCCCTTGCAAACTTCGAAGCTCTGGTCTCCTGCCGCACTCTGAAGTCTCGGCCGAGGTCCCCGAAGTTGTCTCGGCATTTGCTCCGAATACACCCTGAGGCGCTGAGGCTTTGGCCTTCTCCGGCTCGGCCGAGCGCACTGCTCGAGCTTGCTGGGTCTGGCATGGAAAGCTCACTCCACTCCCCCACTCCACCCCCCCTCCCCCCGCCCAAGCGCGTGCAAGCGCCAGCAAGCGAGGGCGCCTGCGCTCGCTTCGCGAGGAGCTCCGGGGTCCGCTGCCAGAGCTCTGCCTGGTGCCTGCCGTGAGCCGAAGAGCCGAGCCCGCGGGGCGCACGTGTCGTGTCATGTCATGGGCCGAACATGGATACACACATTTCTCTTTTGCTTTTGCTGCCTGTAGGAGAGCTCCTCCTCCACGGTGCCCAGAGTCACAAATCGCCAGAGGAAGACCCGCTTCGTCTGCCCGACGCGGAGGCAGCGGCCCAGCGCTTGCGTCTCGTAGGCCACGGCCAGGCGGGAACAGGACGCGAAGACGGGATGGACGAAGAGCACATGGTTCCTAGCAGGCTGGAGATGTGCGCAGGGCAGAAACAATCTCGCCATGGAATTGCGAATGTGTCAAGCGAGGGTGAAGAAAAAAAGCTTGAATTGGCTCTGCAGCGTGCAGGTGCGGGCAGCATGCGGCAAAGGCTCGCTCGAGTGAGGTTCGTGCCGGATGCTGCATCTTGCAAGGAAAGCAACAACACCTTCGGCCCCTCCGTTGACTCGAGCGGGGCTCCCTGAAAGCTCGTGACGACCTCAGCACTCCGCAATCCCTTCCGAAGCGGCCCATGCACGCAGACTGAGTCCAGCGCATCATCGCGTTCCCAGAAGCTGTGCAGTACTGGGTTGTTGGAGGCATCGAAGCGCTCCTTCCACCAACGAGATGCGATCTTTCACATCCGCTGATCTGTGGCGTCTCTCTCTCGGATGTGACCTCCAGGCAGACGTAGGGCACCTGGAACTCTGCGAAGGCAGCCGCCAGCTTCCGCCGGAGACTGGCCCACTGCACGAAGACGATAGCCCGTGCCGTCGGGTCCTCTCTCGGGAACCCATGCCGTTACAGTCAGGGTGTTCCGGCTTTCCGGGGTCCTCCTGCGCGATGTCGCGAAGCTTGCGCACCACGTGGAAGAGCTTCGACCCGAATCGACCCCAGCGCTGGCGCTCCTCGCGAAAGCTTCTCACTGGGAAGAGCCGGAAATGAGCGCCGTCGGCCGCGTCCTCGCGCTCCCCGGGCTGCACTGCACCGGGCTCGCGCACACGCAGCACTTCATCCAGCCCTGGCTCCCGGCGCAGAGATTGGCGGCAAAGAGCGCACTCACCTCTCCTGGCACGAAAACCCGAGCTCACGCGGCGCTTCCGTTTGCGATGCTAGGACTGCTAAGACTGCATGCATCAAGCTGCACCGGTTCTTTCGCACTCCACAGAAATGCGCTCAGCCGGAAGTTCTTTGCTGCCAGCCAGACTTCTACGGTAAAATTGGCTTGGGAGGGTGAACTGGAAAAGGCAGGAGCTTTCTCCGAGAGCTCTCCGAAACAGGGACACAAAAGGCCAGAATCACGCAGAGAAAACGAAAGGTCTACGTGAGCTCTTCGCAGTCTGTGGCACTCTTTGCGCAGGTAGAGATTGCGTCTGTAGGACACCTTCGCTTGGTCGTCTTCCATGTCCGAGCACAGGCCACCAGGCCACCAGATCCGGCGCTCGTGATACGAAGCTGTCTACGCTGTGGATTCCTCGATTCGAGTGTACCTGGGAGCACAACAGCACAAGGAGTAAAGGGAGGCAACCTATACTACTATACTATTCCGAGGCACTTGAGGCTGTAATCGGCAATGCTGACGGCACGATTGCCAGCCTTGAAGAAGAGCTCGTCATTGGGATTCCTCGGTTTGGTAACTATAATCTTGTCATGGTGGCACGGCAGTTTCGGGCTCCCTGCACAGGCTGCACTTCAACGTTTGTTCCAGGCGCAGAAACCCGAGGAGCCGAAGGCGTCCCCGGACGCCGGTGTCCGTCTTCTTCAAGGCTGTAACCTGCAGCACGTCCATAGACCACACCCGTCTCTCCATGGCCGATTAGAAGACAAATCGACCCCATCCTGTCCAAGCGGCAACTTCTTCATCTACTGTCAGTGGGTTGTAGCCGGCCCCAGGCGCAGCAAAGAGCGTCCGCGTACTGGCGACACCTGAGAACAGCGCGGCGCAACCGAATCCAGGGTGATCGCGGAATGGCCTGCCTCGCCAAATGTCGTTCTCCGGGGACAACTCAGTCTGGAACGCCGTAATAAAAATTTTCCTGAGCCGTGGCCCAAACACCCGCAGCGCCGCACAGCGCCGTGCAGCGCAGCACACACTCTGCCGCTTCGAGTGCAGAAAGGGCTCTGGACAGCTCCTTTGAAGTTCACCAGCACGTTCCGCAGAGGATCTAACTCCCCGTTCCCTGCTCGCGTCGCAAGTTCACCTCGATCGGAGGCCCATACAGAGGCTGCAGAACAGAACAGTGCTTGATGCTAGAGTCGTCTTGATTCGATAGATTCCATCCAAGTCAGGCGGCGCGTGTTGTCTTGCACCTCGACATACTCCACATTCTTCACCACTTCCCGCCCCGCAAAGGCATTCAGTTTCGCCTCAGAGACTCTCTGGAGCTGCGTTGCTCTAGGCAGAGTAGAGTCTAGAGAGTCTCGTCGCATCGTGCAGCTTAGCCGCTCTGGTGTTGTAGGCGCGGTCTTCTACAATGTTGTTCCTCGCATTCCGCAAGTGAGGACTGCTACTACCACTCGGAGGCAGCAGCCTCTCCTCTGCGTTCGAAGGTACCTTCGGGCAGGATGGGAGCCACCAGCAAGACAGTCTTTTGGGACCGGCCCGGGTATTCTGGGGCATGGAGGCCTGAGTTCAAAGTCAACGGTCTTCCCGAGCTGGTTCTGCTGCTCTGACAGGACTTTGTTTGCCACTGCCTCTGCCAGCAAACAGCACATACACCATAGGCCAGGCCGCCGCGAGAAAGTAGAGCAAGCAACCCCGCATCAACAAACACCGGCTTTGACCAAGGCACACTTTGGCCGTTGGCCAGGAACTGCTTCCCCAGCGGGGCAGCATAGCTTTCCAGCGTCTGCTCAACGCGCCAGCCTAAGGTCAACACACAGCTGCGGAGAGGGGAGGCACCGAACTGCAGCACATCACTCCGGCGGCCTCATACTTCTGCATACTTCTGCCATCCTGCTCCCGTCTTATGTGCCAAGACACGGCCCTCCATCCACTCCGGATAATACAAATCATCAGGACCCCAGCCTGAATTCGGAAGGACATCAGCTGCCAGGAGCTGTCAATGCAAGCCGCTAGCCCAACCTGGAATGTACCCACTCGGAAGCTTGTCGACCTGAGGGACGCGTGTCTCTTGCAATCCGAGCGGGAACGGATCGGCAGGCCTCTGTGCCATTGAAGCGCAGCTGCAGGGCGGTCTTCTCCGCGGCGGAAGCTGGCAGAGACCTCACTGTATATCAACAAGAGAGCAGAAGACGAAGAGGCCAAGCCAAGCCAAGCAGCCATGGAGTGGCAGCCAGGCCCACAGCAGGACCCACACAAAGGACGTCTCGCCGACGTCCCTCCACTGGCAGAGTCCAGGCGTGCCTCTGAGCACAAGACCACCAAAATCCCAACCTCTACCAGTACAACTTGACAACGACCATAAAACTGCCATAAGGCGTCCCTCGCTGTTGCCGGGCGGCGACCAGAGCTCGGAGCCCGCGCAGAGGCCCGCACACAGGGCACAAAGGCCACGCCTCTCAGACAGACTGATGCTGGGAGCTGTTCCCAAAGTCTCAGGGCCGTGCGACTGCTGTGCGACTGCGTGCCTGCGCCACCGCTGCATATCGGGCATTGCACGCGCAGCTGGGCGGCTGCCTCTGTTTGCTCTGCGCTTTGAAGACTTTTGAGCAACAAAATGCTTTGCCGGCTTCTGCCTGGACCCCCGCCGGTGGCTTTACGTCCCGGTGGCGCCATGGCAACCGAGATGTCCATGCAACGAGGCGCAGTGGTCTCAAGATGACGTGTACTTGTACTTAACTGGCTTTAGACGAAGAAAATTCACCCATGCTTGGGCACCATGGCTCGCAGGCGAGTGAGGCTGCGCCATGCTGCGCCCAGCGTCTAAACTCTGCTTTGCACAGGTGCCGAAAAGATGATTGAAGATGGGACTTCTGTCCTGACCAACTTCCCGGCGCAATGGAGGCAGAAGAGATGGGCGCAGGCGGCCAGAATAGCACCTGGGAATGGTTAGCTGCATCCGTCCCGCCACCCACGTGGTGTTTAGACGAGAGCAGATCATTTCTGGGCTTCCTGGCGCTCTGTGGGCGGAGCTTCGCTGAAGCAGACCTCTGGAGCACCAGCCCTCCAGCTGACACAAAGTCTGAGACTCGAGGCCCAAGCGGGGCAGCAGAATCGGCTAGCCTGCAAAGCGGCGGAGACTCCAGCAAACTACCCACGCGCTCGACTCTCGACACAGAGGCCGTGAAGTAACAACGGTCTCATGACCCAGTACGGGGCAGCGGCCACTGCGTGTTTCCCATTCGCAGACCGACAGCCACTGTGATGTTCAACAACCGGTGAGAATCAGACATGAGGAAGAGAGAGCGTGCAATAATTGATGACGGTGCAAAGACGACGGCATGTTGGCTCGCTTTAGCTTCAGAGATCCGACATCTGCTAGCTGAACTCTCCACAAGCAAACTCCCAGAAAAGAATGAAACTGGTTAACAAAGTCTCGACGTCACGTCACGGACCATGCTCCACGATGGGCAAACTTAAACTTGGCATGTAAGTTTATAGTACATTGCGGTCTGCTCCATCTTCCGAAGGCAGCAGCGCGGTGTCTGTTCCCCACTCCGACCGCAAGCTACTGTACGGCAATCACGGTATGTCTGGCCTCGGCTGCCTTGAGCATCGTGGCCAAGAAGGCGTGATCGTGACTCCTTGGGGGCGCTTTCGTGCATGTGCCGGAGGCTCTCCGTCTCAAACCCTTGGTGCCACCGTCCTTTGGCGGAAGGCCTCCTTGGCCTGCTTCACCTCCTCCAGCAGCCTACTGAGAACTCGCATGATGAACAGATTCAGCAACGAAGTGCCCTAAATAGTGGGATCGTAGCACTTCATAGAGACTAGAGGGGGGCACGATTACTAACGATTCATGGGTTGGCCCTCCTCCAGCAGCTCCACCAACAGCTCCAAGCTATCTCCAGGATTTTGTGGTGCACCCTGGGCACCAGCAGATTGAGACATTAGGAGCAACAGAAGATGGCTCGTAGAAGATAAGCCTCGGAAACGACTTCGGCGCCGCTAGCCGCAGAAGCCAGGCCAGAGTCACGCACTTCCGTGATGGCCCTCAGAGACAAAGAAGGGAGAGAATGGGCTGCTCAGCGCCTACTCCGACCCATCTCCCATGACTTCGCCCGGAGGCCATGTCATGTTGCAAATTTACAACCCAGTTTAGCTATGCTTCAGCCCGATCACGTCCCTGCGCCCGTGAGTACACACCGTATGTGTTCATGTATAAAGATCCTTCATAAGGATCCTTCACCCCGGAAGCTCCAGATGAGTTGCACGAGAACTCGAAGCTCCAAACTAAAAACACGGGTCTTACACAAGAGTGACAGAAGTCAAGATGCGCAGGCTTGTGCGTGTTCACTTAGACGGGGGGTCTGGCCTGGCCTCAGGATCAGGTCGTCCGCGTCGCGCTCGTGTCGCCGGCCCTGGCCGGCGCTTTGCCGAGCGGCACTGGCCCCTGCGATCTGCGAGGCCACAGCTTCCGTCGAGCGACTCAGAGGTTCGCCGCCGACTTCGGCCAGCAGCTGTGCGTACTGCTCCGCGACGAGGGTGGGGAGGCCGTTGCCGCGGCGGCGCGCCGACAGGATTTCTGCCTCCATCCTTCTAGCAGATACCAACAGCCACTGCCGAGCAGTCTCCACCGCATCTGCTCTTGTCCGCAGAAGCGATGCACTTTCCCTCTCGGCGTCTGCTTCTACATCAGCCTCTTCCAACCGAAAGTGAGAGCACAGCTGCAGCAAGTCAGAGCAGACTGGTTGATCTACTTGGCCCATCTGCTTCTGCTGCTTGTGCTTTCGCTTCGCATCGGCAACCCCTTGAACGTAGATTGCACGCTCAGCTGGCGTATGGTAGAGAGAGACCAACTCTTCGTGAACGTCAAGACCAGACAAGGCAGAGGAGCCGTTTGCCCTCGCCGCATAATCCAGCATTCTCTGCGCTATCTCCCTGGCATCCAGCTGCCGCCGAAAGGCCTGCAAGTCTATCTTGAAGGCCTGGCAAGACTGACACGTACAAAAGGGCATGCTCGTCAACAACGCAAACTCATAAAAAGCGGTGCTTTCGGCAACGATGCATCCAATTGTGCCAAATGCTACTCCACGAAACATCACGAAACCATACCGTTTCCGACAGCTGAAAGGAGGGGCAGACCGAGAAAGTCTCTCCTGGTCTACCCCGCCGTACTCTTGATGGCTTCGCTGTGAAGGCTTCGGAAGAAGCAGAAGAAAAAACAATGAAGAGAAAGACGTTGACGGTTAAAACAACGCTGCACAACAGCACATAGGAAAGACCTGTCCGGTTGGATGAAACTTGGGCGGGTATAGGCATTTGGGCATCGGAGGCCTCAGCGATCCGCGCCACGGAAGCAAAATCGCTGAGGGGCGGAGTGCCGGTGAGGCCCCACAGCGCCGTCCCTTCTCCACAGTCGGCCCACAATTCCTGCAATGCCAGCAGCCGTCCACCAGATGCCGAGTCCAAGATTTCATGGAACTCGTCGACGACAATCCGGTCCACACCACTGAGGCAGATTGCTCCTCAGTCGCACCGGTCTGGGAGGCCCCTCCAGCGACACATCGGACCCTCAACTAAGCTGGCGGCTCAGCTTGTGTGCCATCTCCGCAAGGTCCATGTCTGCAGAGGCCGCAGAGGCCTGAGGCTGCTTGCCGACACCTCTCAAATACGCGGAGGAATGGCCGCCACCTCCATCCGGGGCCGCTTCCCAGCCGTCGCCAGAATCTCCACGGGTGATAGCAGCAGTTGGGGAACGGCTCCTGACAGGAACGAACACTAAGCCGCAACACAAGGCTGCAATGCTACACCTGGCCTCGCTCCGGGATGTCGCAGACGCCCAAGTAGAGTTCGACGGCATTTGCAGGAAGGAATTTCCGGACCTCCTGCTGCCACTGCTGCAACAGCCGGCCAGGGACCAGGACCAGCGTCCGTCTGCATCTCGAGGCCTGGAGCCAGGACGCGATAAATTACGGAAGGTCATGTCACTCTGCCCTTTCCTGGAATCGGTGCACATCGTTGCACATCGCAGACTCGTGCAATCATGGAGCTGGACATGAACATTGAACGAGGACTTGCACACTGGCTTAGGACTGCACTAATCGGCACATTGGTTTCTTGGTTTGGTTTACAGCTCTCGAGAAGACGTGCTGTATTTGTTGGACAACAGAAACCCAACCTCCACAACCTCTCAATGACAAAGGACGGCAGGAGCACAATCCAAGGAGCCGCAAAGCTTGAAACATGCTGGGTAGCCCAAAATACAGGGTTGTGCAAGACTGACCCAGGAACCCAGTAGCAACCCGCACGACCCTGCCCAAAACCCTCCCAGACAAACCATGTTTTGCCAACCGTGTCGAGGGGGTGCCACTCTGTATTTCGCAGACCATCTTGTGCTAAGATCTTATACTCGGAACTCCAATTGGCTTTTTGGTAGCTATTGGGTCATGTTTTTGGTAGCTTTTGGGGTAGCCTTCTGGTAGCTGTTGGATGTTTGCTTTCCACAATGACCCCTCGGCTGCCTTTATTTGGCTTTTCCATAGCTTTTGAAATCTAACATGCTTCGTGTCCAGAGCTCGGTCGTCTTAATACTACTGACTCACTACATGCTGTTCCGCCCAGGCATTTGGCGCACATCTCTATGTTTTTCAGAGCTCTCCACTTCCAGGTAGGGTGCAGGCCTCCGGCTGAGAGCCTCAGACAGTCGATGCAGACGGGTGACCTACGGCGAAACCTTTTTTCTCTGGGGCCCACACCATCCGATGCCACCAGCCCCAAGGTGACCGCAGTCTTTCCCTGAGAGCACGTTGCGCAATCGGGACTTGCCGACTCACACAGGGCGCCACGCAACCAAGAGCGGGGCCGACCCCACTTGGTCGGCAAGAAGCCCGCCTGACGGTGCATAGGGTGGGAGCTGTCCCGGCGCTGTTGCGGCCACCCAGCATGGCTGGGTAAGTAGTGGAGTGGCCGGTGCGATTTTTGAAGGCTTGTGTACTAATCAGTCAGAACTTGACGGGAGTGCCCCCCTCCTTATGCCAGCTCCCAGCACCACCTTCTGCACACTCTTCCAAACCACGCTCTCGCCCCCTTCTCAGCAGTCTCCGGCTCTTCAACACAGTCACCCGTTCATCACTGTTCGCTCACCATGGCAACAAAGGAATTTGAAACCCCTGATGTCGCTGCGCTGCAGTATGCAACCATCCCCCCACCCACCCACTCACCCAGCCAGAAAAACAGCGGCCTCGCAGGTGAAAGGCGCGCTGCACTCGCGCCACAGCTCTGCAGCCCAGAGCCTTTCGTGACGAAGAGCTGGGAGGTCAAGGGAGGCCAGGGACAAACCGATCCCGAAGACATGGCCGGGCCTCACAAAGCAGCTGCTGCGCGGCATGCGGCGGATGGAGCGTTGGGAAAAACCTCGACAGACAGCAGCGCCGACTCATCGCACTGCCAGACCGCGGCGCCCAATCGCTTGCGAAGGAGCTCGCGGCTCACCCCCAGGAGTAGCGGCTCCCGGTTCTCTGCTTCGCAAGCCTTTCGTCACGGACAAAGGTCGCCGTGTCCCGCGGTGACCACACAAGCGGGAAGAATGGCGTGGACATGCGTGGCCTGCATCCATGCCAGGGACCGGAGTTGGTGTCCGCGCAGGGGCAGAAGCAGCTCAACTTCTGCCTCAGAGCCGAGCTCCCAAAAGACAAACCCTCGAGTGTCGAGTATCTAGAGTCTTTTCAGATGTCTTGGCTCACATGCGCTTTTTTTTCTTCGTGTAATGGGGAGTTCACAGAATGGAAGGGCGGGCGCGGCCTCCGCATCCATGGTGTTCGACAGCAGCTGAAAGGCCCGTGATGATGCGTTTGCCTGACAAGGGCGCCAGGCACCAGGGACTCTCGAGTGCGGCAAAACAAGGGTACTAAAACTGTTACAAAATTGAAAAAAGTGGCCCTTACCACCGCCGCACCTGCGTCTTCTCATGCGCCAGCTCCGTGTACACATCAACATCGAAGCTCCAGGGACACTACGACTTCCCTACGACCCCAGGAGCCCCGCTAGATGCAACTCTGGGCAGGACAATCGGGCTCTTCACGACCGTGTGGAAAGGCTCAAGCTGGACAGTAGAGGACGAATTTCGGGTGGAAGGGTCAGCATACCCAAATCCTAGCTCTTCGGTGCTTGGCTATGAAACTGATTTTGTTTCGGCTTGAATCCTCCCCGGACCTGCTGCTAGTGCCCCCGCCAAAGCCGCCACTGACTCCTCGCAGCTTCGAAAGGCATGGAGCGTCGACATCCAACAGTCCAAGTTTGTCCTCCAATTCCCGTCAGAGCCCGCGGTCTGCGCCCAGGATCGCGTCCATGCGTCCTTGTCACGAGAAGCCACGCCAACACCCTGCCTCATTCTCTCCGGCCTCTCCATACCAGTACCGGACGGGGAGAGCACCTGCGAAGTTGCCAATGCCATCCAATGCCCATGCACCAAAGCGACAAAGCGTGCGCCTCCTCGCGTGACCTCTTCTCGAGGCGCCAGGAGAAGCGCAGGTGCGGCCCGAGCCTCCAAGGCGGGTAGATGGCCTTAGCTGAGAAGCTCCACAGCACGGCCAGCACACGAGTCGCTATGGGGTCCGTGCAAAGCGAGCTCTTTGGGCGAGCGCAAGTGGGTCCGCGACGACCTGAAAGCGCACTGCACGCACCGTATCCCATCGAAGCGGGTGCAGGGGCGTTTTGCGGCCAGGCAACGCGCAGCTCCAGGTCAAGCCTGTCCGCGGAGCCCTGCAACGGGAGACAGCACCGATTCCGCGGATCTGCGGGCACGGCCCGTCCTTGCACATGCCGTCGCCGTCGTCGCCACAAACGACCGCGCAGACTCGAAGAGGCGGCAGGCCAACGGCTGGGGCCTCCTGCGGCCGTCCGCATGCATCAAGCTATTGCAACGTGGTACAGGTTTTACGGAGCCGGCATGCGCCGTCTCCGTCTGCCGCCGCGCGCTCATGCGGCAGCAACAAACTCTCTCCTCCGCGTCGCCATCTCGCAGAGGCACCTCACAGCTTGAAAATGTGGGCGAGGGGTGAGCGTGCTACATGACGTGTTGGTGGAAAGCTGCAGTTTTGCGCTGTGACTGTGCCTGTACCCAGACATGTGTGAATCGAGTGAACGGTACGAAGATCTGGAAATCTTGTCACATGCTGGGCCAGTGTGACACACTTTTTTCTCAGCCGGGCGGCCTCGCGCCATCCCGAGACCACCGCTGGCAGCCCCGTCGGCTCCACCTCCAAACCCGCCGAATCCTGCAAGGGGCCACGGCAAAGCTGAACTGAAGAACGGACATGGCTTGGAGTTTCCGACAGTCTGACAGTCTAACATTCCAATATGTGCTGCTCTGGCCGAAGCACTTGGAAGTGAGTGAGCCAGCCAGCCTCTACTTCTGCTCTTGCTTGTCTTGTCATCTCGCCGTTTGTAACTCAGGCAGCGGCGTTGTCGTGCAAGCAGTCTGCCAGGTGCTTGTGCGCACTTCCGCCTCGAGCTGAGATTGAAATCTAGACACCACCCTGCACAGGTGCATCGCCCCACCGCAGATGCTGCAGCCGCTGCAAGCTGAGCCTGAGCAAGCTGGTGCAGATCAGCACGGACACGAACTAACGTGCTACAACCGTTCAAGATTCACTCACTCTTCTCTCATCTTCGGATCAAGTTGCACGGGACTACCCCGAAAGCACAGCCATGAAACAAGGTTTCGAACTCAGACGAACTTAGGCCGCTTCTGGCCATACAGGCTGGTTATCAAGCCTTGAATCGAAAAGTGGACAAAACATCGAGCCCTCAACTCAGTGAGCCTGCCGTGGAGGGAGCTCCGGCGACATCTGCATTGGAGCCATGGCCCTGTCAGGGGCTGGGCGACAGAGCGAATCAAGGTGAGTCGGTGAGTGGCTCTCAGCATCCCGCCCATCTTGCTTGTCCCCGCCGCTTCCCCTGAAGGGAAGGGAACCGCAAGGATGTACGACGGATGTACTAGAATGACTTAATGTGAAACTCAACATGCAATGTAGCATGACCTAGGGCCCAGGGCCTCGCCGGCGTTCCGACCTTTCACGTGCAGGACCACCGAGGCCCTGTGGCCTTGCAAGGCTCAATCGATGCCGGCGAACCTGAAGAGTTGTGCGTTTAAGTTGTCCCCTTTCTTTCGCATATGCCCGCGCGAGCGCGAATCGGCGAAGGCGCCAAGTGAAACTTTGAAGCTGAGTGTTCTCGCCGCTTCTACACAGTTAGCCCAATGTGTTCTATGGCAATAGCGGCGTCTCTTCACCCTGCATAGCAAAGCCGGGCGTCATGCCAGTGATCTGTGGAGGTGTGACACCACCGTCTTGACCGTAGAGAGATCCGTACATGCCTGGTGCAACTCCCGGCTGTTCGAGCATGGGGGTGACATCCCCTCCGGCAAAGCCCGGCGTCATGCCCACCACATCTCCAGGTGTCAATGCACCGGTGGGCAATCCCGGCGTTGTTGAGCCTGCGAGGGCAATTATGACAAGGCTGAGTGGAGTTCTACTCATAACTCATAATATGACTTGAGCAGAACTCTGCCAGGCCGCACACCAGTGATTGTAAGAGGATGGTAGGCAAGTGTGGACAAGAGCAGACGACGGCCGAAATGAGAAAATCTTGAATAACTTTGCATCCAGACGTTCTTCCGTTGCCTATAAGAATCCCAAACTGCCCTAAAGCCTTCAAGGAAGGTCCCTCGCAGACATTCAATGCCCTCGCCTGGCTGCAATGGGACTGGTGTCTCGGACTTGACAGGCGGCTGCACGTCTTTGAACTCAATGGGCTTCTTGTCCTTTCTCCAGGTCTTGAAATCGGGTATGGGATCCTGCAGCGCCTTTTTCGCGGCGGAACCCGCCGAAGGCGTGTCCCTTTGTCGGACTTTGGCTTTGATTGAAGGCGCTGGTGCGAGCTTGCCGTTCCTTCTGCGAGGGGCATGTCGCAGATCACCCGACACATTGCCGGTGAAGGCCGGTGCTCGCGGCATGTTGTAAGATGGCCTGGCGGACTGGGACTGCATGGCTTGCTGGAAGGCTTGCGGGCCGCCAGGGGTCGACAGTCCACTGTGCCCAGCACGACTACCAAAGAGAATTCTTTGCGCAGGCGTCGCTGGTGGAAAGGCTGGAGTGCCGGGGTTCGCAGGGGTTTGCGGCATGGCTGGCGTCGCCGGCATTCCAGGTGTCGGCGGCATTCCAGTCGTCGGCGTAAGGGGATTCGGCATTCCAGTCGTCGGCGTAAGGGGATTCGGCATTCCAGTCGTTGGCGTAAGGGGATTCGGCATTCCAGTCGTCGGCGTAAAGGGATTTCCCGCTTGCTGTGCGGGTGGAGTGGGCGGATGCCACATGCCATGCATGCCCGGCGTGGCTCCAGGAACCGTCGGCGTGGCGGGTGCTAGCGGATTCGGCGTCAATGGAGCCGCCCTCGCACCGAAGGCTCCCGCTGGAGTTGGAGGCACTTGCTGGGAAAAGGCTGCAGCAGGTGTCCGAGGAATCTGCTTGGGTTCTGGCGGAGTCCGGGGAATCAGATCCGCGTTGGGGACGGAGACATTGCCCTTAACGTCCTTTGCCCAGTCTCTCTCTTGCCACTGCTTCTTGGTATTCCATGAGGAATACTCGGGCTTATCTTCCCACCTTGCCTGCTTCGAGTTGGACGTCTCGTCCCATCCGTCCCATTCACTCTTCACACGCTTCTTGCCGTGCCAGTCATTGCTCTCCTTCTGCCACCACTTGCTGCCGCCCTGCCACTTGTACCAGTCGTCATTTTCTTTGCCTTTGTTGTCCTGCCAGTCCTCCCAGCCCATCGCCTACATTGCGCTTGGAAGCGGCATTGCTCGTTCCGATGTGGTTCACAACCTTGTCAGCCCAGAGCTACTGCTTCACTTCCGTGTGGCTTATGACTTGAGACTGATGCCATGTCTGACCTCGGACAGCCCAACCAGGGTTTCGCAAGATGTAGTGGTAGTAGTGATCTGTAGCTGTTGATAGAAGCGGCTGCGGCGACCGACATTCATGAAAACGGAGATGGCTCGTTGAAACCCCAGACTTACAAACTGTTTAATAACTCCGACTAAGGCTGCGGCAGAGAGTAAGCTTCTGCCCATCCACGCCTTGGTCCACCTCGCTGCTTCTGCGGCCGTGGCAGTGTTCTAACAGCGAACTCAATGGGCCCGCAATGTCAACAAGCCCCATCGCACCTGGCTCCGCATTGTGTTCCATGGTGATCAAAGCTACAGAGCCTACCAGCCTGGACGAGAATCTCATGGGTCTCGAGAGGTTGGCTCACTATGTCTCGCGGTCGGTGCTTGAAGGCTTGAAGTATGGTGCTGGACGAAGCCCTGGAGTCATGGAGCTAGCAGCTAGCACCTTGAGCTTCTGAGCACAAGACCACAACATTTTTTGTTCCTGGGTGCTAGCGTACACGAGCCGGCGAACCAGTCAAGACCACAACAGCTCAGCCGGCAGAACTCTGCTGGAGGCATGCTACAGGCATGTGCTAATTGCTGCGTCCTGCTGCTCCATGGCCTTTGACATCTGGACAAGAGGCGTCTGATCCTTCGAGACGTCCGGAAACATTACAAACAAACCTCTGGGTTGCCCCTAGATTGTGCCCAGTCCAGCCATCTGCAACGGCGCTGCAAATCACCAATGCTCGCCTCAGTGCGCAGTACGCAGGATGGATCTCCCAGGCTCGGCAGCAGAACACCTGGAACAGCGCTTCCCTTCGGCCGGCCTGGAGCGATGCCTTGACTTGGCTTACGGAGCCTTCGCAGTTCCCCGCCACCATGGCCTCGACAGTGTCGAACATCCCGGCTGCCATGGCCCTTCGCGGCCCCTCTTCGCGCCTTGACCCAGGCCCAAGTGAAGGCCTCGGAGGGCGGCACAGCTGCTGATGCCACAAAGCCGTCTTTTCACCAGGGCACCCCTTGAACGACGCCCTCGATCGGCAGCTCCCCACACCACTGAGCCTGAACGCTGAACGCGACACGGCATGAGGGCTTCGGAAGAGGCGACAAGCCTAGGGCCTGGTGGCAGGCGGAGTAGCAGGTAAGTGAGCACTCGATCGCAGGCACCTGCAGAGAAGCCATGCGAAGGTTCGGCCAAGCCCAGCCCCAGCCCTACTCTCCGCCTCGATGGCTTGAGGGGCCCGGAGGGGAATGCTGGGCAGGACCTGCCGTGCCCACGCGAGAGAGACTTGAAGCTCGCTGCGCCCTGAAGCTTAGAGGACAACCGCCGCCAGGGTGTCCAGGCGCCGCGCACGCGCATCGGCCATCTGCGCGCAGGCTCCGCTCTCTCTGTTGGACGAGGTGCAGAAGCTCTCAGGGCCTCATCCATGCCAGCAAAGGCTGCCGGTTGCATCTGCGCCTCCAAAGTTGGCAATCCGAGTCCACTCAGTTCGCTCAGTTCGCATGGGGGAAGCGGACCCACTGGAACATGGCGGGCTGAGGTTTCGATCCTGACACGAGATGGAAGAAGGATGAAGCCATGCTTGCTGTCGGTTTGTCGAACCTACGCCCGGCAGCGAGGAGTGGCAGCAGTCAAGGACAACAGTTGCCTTACCTCGCGAGATGATCCAGACAAGCCAGCGTGGCTCAAACCCGAGAACAGCCAAGTGTGGTGCATCCGGCCGGGAGCTTGGACAGAGCTTGTGAGACTTCCGTCAGCGGCACTAACCTGCATGAAGGCCCAGTCCCCATCAAACTTCATGTACCAAGCTGAGAGCTGAACCTGTAGCCACCGGTGCTATCGCCACCTCCACTTTTCAGAGCCTCAGCATCAATAAAATGCCGAGCTGACCCTGGCTCGGCAACCTCCAACCACCCCCTTCCGGGCACCCCCTTCCGGGCACCCCCTTCCGGGCACCCCTTTCCGGGCACCCCCTTCCGGGCACCCCATCCGGGCACCAGGCAGCGTAGTCAATGGGAACGAGACACGCTTCGAAGCTTCCCACACCTTTCACTGCTTTGCAGCTGGGATCGGCTCTGCTCTCCGTTTATGACCACGAGCCGCGCCGTGTGGCAGCAGCGCCCCATAGCCTGTCGTGTGGACTGGGCTGCGTTATGCCATGCTCATCAGCTCGCAGAGCAGGACTCGCCTGCAAAGTACAGGAAGACCTCATCGCCGGGGAGAGTGTCGGCTGCGAGCCACTGCAAGCCTGTCAGCTGAAAGCGTGTCCCTCAATCGGCCCTGTGGTTCAGGAAAATATGTCCGGTAGCCACAGACGCTTGCCTTCTGCGATCGTGGCAGCAGTTGGCCGCCGCTGCGGAGGCATTGGACAACTGCGAGTGCCATCAACGATGAAGCGGACCTGCAGGATGTCTCCAGGTCTCCAGATTCCAGCAACTACCAAAGCTTCCTGAAGCTGTGACCTGACTCTCCGAGATCTGCAGTGTGTGTCTAAGGAGACTCAGAACCTGTCGTCGTGTTCAGCGATGACACGAGACGGCACGGGACAGTGCCCGACCCGGAGCTTCGAAAACGCAGCAAGTCAAGCCGCTGGCATTCCATGCATCGTTGATAGCTCCCTTCAGCGGCGTGTTCCTAAATTCCAGATCTTCGAGCACGGATTCCCCTGAACGCTTCCAAAGTCTCTGAGCATACCGCGACTCGAAATAGCTGCAGCCAATGACCAGCGCTTTCCTGCGACCAGCATGGGCCCTCAGAGACCAAGGCACATGACTTTCCCCCAAGTTGTACATGCTGAGCACCCAGTGCTAAGCCGCCCACGGCAAAGGCAAACAAGAAAGCACCTGCGAACTGGAAACATAAACCCGCATAGAATCTTGCCAAAGCTGGCTGAGCAGTGGCTACGAGTACCAAAGCCGTCACGATGCTAAAACACTGCGACGACAATAGTCACATGAAGCGTGCACAAGTGTCGCAACAGCAGCGCGGCGCACCATGCCACGCAACGCTGCCGGCACCGATCTCACCTGAGCACAGTTTTAGATGGACACGACTGCCTTGGAGCCCTGGATATCCCTTGACCGCACAGGCCTTGGATGGCTCCAGCGGCTTCAGCTCTGCCTCGCAACGGTTTGACCGAGGCCTGTTTCATGACGCAACCTTGCGCAGCCTTGCCTCATCGCGGCCAGGAGCCAAGCGCATCACCTGGGAAAGAACTACATCACGACTACACAACATCACGACCTGCCTCACCCGAAGCCCGGATGACAGCTAAAAGGGGTGCGAAGTCGTCGCTCCGAAATGGCACCACCCGCCCCCGCATCCATCAAGAGAGACAAGGGGAGTCAAGCGCGGACACTGAAAAACAACAACCTCGAAATATGCCCTGTCAAATTAACAGGAGCCGCTGAATTACAGGGGAAGAAAACATTGGCCGGCCTTGGCTGTGAGATGCACTCGTCTCTTTTTTTTCAAGAAGACGACGAATGGAGCTTTTGTAATCTTCCTCGCTGGGGTCTAGGCGTGCCCAGCGCATTTGGCGAAACAGCTCTAGTGCCTGCTGCCTGCCCGACATAGCCAAGCACGCTCTCACGGAGCTCATATACAGAAACGAAGTGGGTGAGAAGCGCTGGGCACCCGCGTAGCCCAAAAATCGCAGGCTTTGTCGCCACAGGCAAGCATCTTCGAGAGCGCTGCACAGGGCAACAGAGGTGAAACTCATTTTCTCTGCAACTTCTGTCTCCTGCCAGCCTTTGCCACATGCCTTGTCGGCCGTAGGATTGCCAGCATCCAACTGCCCATCAAGCAGTTGCAAAGCTTCAGGCCAGGACGACGATGCAGCAGCTGCACTGACAACAGGGCCCCAACTGAAAATGTTCGAGAATGGTTGGGAGGCATGCAGCTCGTCTAGAGAAGCTAGGGACATCTCCCAGTGCTGAGCTGCACATGTGCTGATGACGAGATTGAAGCATGTCAGGTCCATCTGTATTCTTCGTTCACGGCTGCGATGTAGCAGCCACACTGCCTGCTGCCACTCGTCGGCTTTTCTGCAGGCGCTTAATGCCGCAATGCAAGAGACTTCATCGACCTCCTCTGCTTCAAAAGCCCCTATGGCAGAGGCCCATGCACCAGCTTCACCGCATGCACTAATGAGGGAGTTCGTAAAAGTCTGCACCAGGCCAAGTTGCTCACAGACTTCTCCGTGCAGGAGTAGCGCCATCGGCCAGCTTTCTGCACTGCGGAAAGCACCGATAGCCGTGTTGTACGTGCCGAGGTTCAAATTCAACCGCCTTGTTTGAGAATCCGAGCAGAGTCCCACAGCTTGGCGCCACGCTCCGCAGTCTCCGCACACAGACAATGCCGAACTGTAACTAATGGAATCTAGTCTCACGTGGCCCTCAAGAGCCTCGCGGACTAGCTGAAGAGCCCCTTGCCACTGGCCACTCTCACCCAGTGCAGTGATCGCTACGTTGAAAGCAAACGTGGTTGGTGTCACGATCTCTGTTCCGATGTCGGTAAACAAGGAAAGTGCAAGCTGCCACTGACCAGAACGGCCACAAACACAGATGGCGGCGCAGTGTGCAACGACGCTGAGTTCCTCCATCGCTTGCAGAAGATATAGGGCAGTTTCCCACTGCTCATCTACTTCACATGCAGAGATGACGGCCGAGTAGGTGATGGCATTTGCTCGCATTTCTCGAGCGACTGCCTCCTCGAGCAGAGCTGTAGCTAGCTCCCATCGACCCTCAGTCTTGCATGCAGCGATGGCAGAGTTGTAAGAGACGAGGGTTGGCTGGATATGAACGCGAGCTATCTGGCGAAGCATATGCAGGGCTGTGGCCCATCTCTCACTGCATGCAGTGATAGCGGCATTGAAGGTGACGGCATCGGGTTGCATATGACGAGAGCAGAGCTCTTCTAGCAAACACAGAGATTGTTGCCAGTGGCCGGATTTGTCACACGTGCTAATCGCAGTGTTGTATGTCACGATGTCGCTCTGAATCCTGCGAAGTTGCGCATCTCGAAGAATGCACAGAACGTGCTGCCATTGGCCAGCCCTCTCGCAAGCAGACATCGATGCGTTGTATGTAATTGTGTTCGTCGCAAAGTCTTCACCTTCAGCATCATGCAACAATGACAGAGCCATCAACCAACAGTAACAGTGCCCAAGGGCGTTGATGCCTGAATTGTATGTGATGATGTCCCAGGGTATGGAAGTCCATAGCATCTCTTGCATAAAGCTGAGGACCAGCTCCCATCGGCCAGATGTTCGAGTTGCAGAAATGATGGTGTTGTATGTCACAACGGTGGGTTGTAGGTTTGAAAGTTTGGCATCCTCCAACAAGTGAGGGATAGGCAACCACTGTGTTGCCTTCTCACAAGCGCTGATGACTGCATTGTAGGTGATGATGGTTGGCCGTACACTCCTCAGTTTCGTGTCGTGCAGAACGGATATGGCCCTTTGCCATGCACATCTTCTCCTGCATTCGGTGATGGCCTGATTGATATCCTCGATTCTTGGCGTGCATTCGTGTGCCCGAGCATCGACTCGGGTTGTGGCTGGAAGGCCTGGAAACCGAAGGGGGACAAGTGCGAAGATGTCCGAGTTGAACATGTCGGAGCATGTGCTCTCGAGACAATGAAGAATTCTTAATTCCGAGGTCGCCTTGAGCACGAAGCTGCAGAAACGGAGCCCTGAACGAGCCCTGTCTACGACCAGCAGAGAGGCATGGCGAAATTTACGGGGGCTCCCGGCCTCTGAGACCCGCTCGAGCTCCTGCAAGAGCCTCACAAAGCACAGCGCGGGCAAAAGTCGCTTCCCTCCTGGTGGCCGCACGTCGGGCCTGGTCTCGCAGCTGGTGCTCCGGTTTCTCAGGTCTTCGATCTGCGCCTCTCGCGCGACTCTCAAAACCCTCATCGCCCGTCTCTGTCCGCGTCTGCCTGCAGGTCTTGTCGGCATTTGCTCACCTGAAATCAAGACCCCAGACGCCGACGGCTTACGAGAACGTGACAAGTCGGCCTGCTCCGCCAGCCTGCCAAGTCGAGGTTTCACTGGCCGAAAAAGACATGGTCATTCTGACATGCTCAGACGGGAATGGCAGAAGACAACCAAAGCAAGCAGCAGCTCCATTGATACTTCCATGGTCGGCCAGGCAGGCACACTGGGAACTGATTGAGTTTTGAGCGGCTGTGCGTACAGTATACAGGTATCCCGCGCACACCGCATGGTTCCCCCTTCATGGAACTGGATGGTCTGGTCCGGCCCTCATTTCCTTGGCGTTTGTGGCCACAGCGTGGTCGATGTGGTCGTTCCCCAGTTCCAGGAAAAATACTCCACCCGCCCACAAGCGCCGCCTCCACTGCCCGGGGCGACAAAAAAAGGCAGGTGCAGATCGAATGTCGGAAGGACATTTGGGCGCTGCCGCTTGTCTGAGAACACGACCCAGCTGCCGGTCCACTCGAGGCCGCAATGAAGCTTTGCTCCAGGTGTTCGGTCCTCACAGTGCTGCTACATAGCTCCCTTTACCAGCCATGGAATGACCATGACGCATGCGTGCATGTGCCTGTATACACAAACCAATCCAGAAAGAGAGAGAGAGAGAGAGAGAGAGAGAGAGAGAGAGAGAGAGAGAGAGACTCGGAGACACTCTGCGAAAGAGAGAGAGAGAGAGAGCGAGAGCGAGAGAGAGAGAGAGAGAGAGAGTGAGAGAGTGAGAGAGACTCTGTTCAACATTATGAAGGGCAGTCCGTTCGAGCGCGGTGTTGATCATCTCCTGCACGAGGCTTCAACCCGGATGAAGTCGCACAGCCGCAAGAGGGCGCAACGTCACCGGACAGGGCCAACGGGCCAACTTACAAGAGGCGACTGCCAAGTCAGAGCATTAAGATCTTAGTCTTAGCAAACAAGAAGACCTTGACCAAAGCTACTTGAGAGCTGGTCACGAAAGCTAGAAGCACGAGGTCCGGTGCTGAGCTCTGCAAAGCGATGTGCACGACAGTAGCGGAGGGAAAGTTTGGGCCGGTGAAGGGTGCAGGCGTTGCTCGTTCATTTAACTCTTGAGAAAGTAATGTGCGAACGACAACTAGAGGTTACTCTGGAGAGAAGACCGCACTTCAGTCGCCGAACGTCAGACACAAACAAAACCAAGGGACCTTGAGGAGGGGGGGGGAGGGGGGGACCTCATGATAGGGGGGGGGGCCCCCCCCCCCCCACCTTATCCCAGGCACAACCACCTTAAAGGAGGGGGGGGAGGGCACCTTATCAGTGGAAAACGCACAATGACAAGGTGAAGGGGGGGGGCCCCCCCCCCCCTACCCCCCACCTTAACTCTTGGACGTCCCACCTGATAAGGTGCAAACCCTGTTTTTTCCCTAGTGCCTTAATACAAGTGAATTGCTAAAGGGCAACTCCCGCGAGCTCCACAGAGCTAGCTTTCGTGACTACCCACCTTACAGTCCTGGAAACACTTGCAGCCTTGTGAAGTCCAGTCTTTCTGGCAGCAAGCAGGCCATGATTTTCTGAAATCCCTGAACACACACATGCACGACTGACCCAAGCATGACCACAGCAAGGGAATCTACGAATCGCACGACAGCCGCCCGTCTGCCTCCAGGTGCACCTGCAGAGTCTGACACGACAAAGACCGCGGCAGCTCTTGGGGCCTCGAAAGTACCGGCCTTGGTGGAGTCGCTCCCGCTCAAGGCTCCGGAACCAGCCGTCGCCTGCGCCGCGAAGTGCGGTTTCAGCCCTTCCCTTCCCTTCCTTCCCTGCCCTGGCGCTCCCTGGCACTCCCTTGCCTCCTGCACCGCCGTGCAGACCTCCTACCAAAAAGGTGAAGCGATCAAAGACAAAGAAAAATACAAGTACGCTCTGTGACAGCATTCGGTCGCCTCCATGCGCACGGCCGTCTGCTGCCCCAAAACCATCAGCTTCGCCAGCTCGGCACGGAGCTGGGCCTCCACGGCCTGCAAAGGGCACTCTGCGACACGGGCATCCGCGGGCACTTCGGCCGCGGGCGCTTCGGCCTCGAGGCGTTCCGAGACGACCTGGGTGAGCTGGGCGCATTCGGCAAGGTCAGACCGCGTCTGGCCCAGCCGGTCCTGTCAAAAGCCAAGGCAAGGCTTTGTCAAAGTTCGAGTCGGCGAGATTTCGGCGGTCGCGGGTCTCGGGGTTGGGAGCTTACTCACTGCGAAGCCAGTGTCTACTACCTGCTGGGAAGTGCCTTCAAGATGCCCTTTAACGAGGAAGGACAACGCCATTGAGAATCCGAAGCTGGAGATGAAAACTTTTTCTCCGCAAGCGTGACGCGGTGTTTAGCAAGGGAGGAACACACGGCAAGTCAACAAAGAGTTTCATGCTCGGCTTTGACCCGAGTTGAGCTTCAACGGATGCTTGGGACCACGCTGTGTCCTTGGGATGCGCAGGTAGTTTAGGGGTCCATCTTGAAGATGAGAGAAGCGAAGCAGGTTTCACAACCAGGCCGGCCAAGAAACGGCTTCTTCAAGAACCAGCACAGCTTCCGGGCTGCCATTTCACGGTTGACCTCTTCCTCCCTTGACGAAGTGCAATGTTTCGACGTCGAACGTTCAAACGGAAAGACTGCGGCCGGCAGTCCAAGTAGCCGAGTGGCTTGCAAGGAGTCTTTGTCACTGGCATCAAGCATGATACCTCAGCAGTGAGCTCAGCATCTGGGAGGAGTCGCAGCAATCAAAGATGCATACGAGCCTTGCCCCTTCCGGTAGGAGATCATCCAGGAGCACCGAGACCTCTCGCTCCCTAATCGGACCCGCTTTGCGCCAGTCAGACGGCAGCAGCTCAGCGTGGTCGCCGTGACCAGCAAACAATAGAAAGAGCTGTAGGGCTTCTAGGCGGTCCTCCGGTAGCTCACCCGAGCAACAGCCACGAGCTGCGCTTTCGGAGCGCCTGTTTTCGCCACAGAGGAGCCACTCCAAGTGAGTCAGAATGTTGCTTCGCGAAGGCATCATTGTCACGTCGCCGGAACTGTCGCTCAGAATCCGCAGATCTTCCTCCCTGACAAGACCTTCTCGAAGCAACCAGGATCGCATGTCCTGGACATCGTTCCAGGAGCCCTCGAGCCTCAGCTCCTCATCTTCGTAGCAGATCCCGATTAGCAGAGCACGTGCCGGCGCTGCCGGCGCTGCCGGGCTGTCTGTTGACAGGGCCTGGTCAAGGCTGCAGCTTTCGAGCTCCCGGGAGCATCGCAATGTCACGGCGGCTTCAAGACCGGATCGCTGGAGAGCAGCTTGCATTCGGAGCTGTAGCTGTTGCAAGGACAGGGATTGCCAGCGGCCGGCCGCGAGCAATACCGCAAGAAATGCTTGGGTGCACAGCCCGCCCTTCGCGTGACCCCACGCTTTCCATACAGAGGGTAGCCAATCGAAAGCGGACTTTGCTGGTGGTTCCAAGCCTTCGGAGGTTTCGGATTCTTCCTGCAAGGCAGCCTCGGCAGCTATGGCAAGAACCAGCCGGCGAGTCTCGCCATTCAACCCGCAGCCCAGGATGCCACATGCCCTCAGAACGCAGCGCAGGGCCATGCAGGACGATCAATCCTTGGCTATGAATCAAGGAGCCTGTATCCTGATGCCACCGCTGCCTGAGTGCGTGGTGAAAGTCTGCAGATCATGCGGATTCCAGCCTTCCAGCTAGTCCCACTGTCCCTGCAAAAACACATGTCCTGCAGCTGAACTTCCAGCTCTTCCTTCCTTGGCACAGCAGGCAACGCACAAAATTTGGCCTCCTAGGATCCTCGAGCACTCGGGACCAAACAGCTTGGACGACTCGGTCGCATCCGCTGCCGACTGGGTCGCGCATCTTTCAGAGACCTGCAATTATGCAGGCTACATAGTGCCCTACATCTGAACCGTCGCGCAGCAAACAACAGCGGCCGTTTTTCCGAAGGCACCCTCATGGATACCATGTGAGAAACACAGGCTTCATGTTCTGACCAAGCGAAATTCATTCTACAAGCTTGCCCAGGAGGCAGAGTTTCAGAGCCGTGTATGTACAGTCAGATGTCGCGCATCTGCATCAGCAGTGGCAGTCAAAGCCACACTTCTATCAGGCTCTGGCAACATGAAACAACGGTCTGGCTGAGGCAAAGGGTCACTGCACAGTCCCAAAGTGGGGAACAACACTGTCATACAAGATGCCACACATGCCTTCAGTGCAAAGGCAACCGACATCTTCGCTTGAAACGTCTGTCAAGACACAGAGCCAAGTAGAGCCGAGCCACCACATACCCGAACTTGTGCAGGGTCGCCAGTGCAAGCAGTGCCTGGGATGGAGAACGAGACTGACGGCTACTTTTTCGATCTGGTATGTTAGCCGAGCGTCCCTTTTCAGGTTGCCGGTCCCAACCGCATTGCTGTGAATCGTCTGCATCACTGCGCAGAATGCGAATGCGGCCGCCCTGCGTCAATCGGCAAAATCCGAGGTCCCTCCTACCTTGCAGATGCCGCGAATTGCGCATTCCTGGCCTCACCCCAGTTGTTGCCCCACGAGTTCTGTATCAAATAGAAGAGATCTCCGGACTTGGAATCCTTGCCGTACCCAATCAGCGTCACGGCATGATCAATGACTGAGTCCTGAAGGGCAAGACAGGGAACCGCTGCCTCCAGGGCCCTAAGCCGGTCCGTCCTTCGCGCAATGATCAAAAACTCCAGAAGCGTAGAGATGCCTCGGGAGCTGTCGGCTTCAGCGCCCCAGTCCCTTCTTCCCCACGCGGTCAGAGCCAAAAGTAGCCAGATCGCCAGTTCGTCGCAGCGACCGAAACGCCGACGGGCCCCCGCTCGTAGAGGGCTCGCAGGAGAGGCTCTTGACCTAATGATTACTACGGAGGGTCATGGAGGCGAGGAGGACTGGGAAAACTCGCACATGCGCCTGTGCTCCTGGCGGTTGGGTGGCAGCTTCTCCCATCCCTGCAGGCCGAAGCCAAGCCCAGCGGAGTCCGCCGCGGCGCGGTGCACGTGCGGCGCCTGCAGGTCTGTGTGCCTCGGAGACCGACCGAAGCGTATGGAAGCCACACATGTACTAGACTCACTAGACCCGTTTGGAGTTGCATCGTGTTAGCCCGGAGTCTCACAGTTGCAGACGCACCACCTCCATTGACATCCGAGCGGCTCATGCAGGTACGCGAGGGCAGCTAAGTCCTCTTCAACCTGTGCACGGTACTGATCCTTCACGTCGAGCGCCTCGTCGTGCCCACTGTCCTGCAGGCACAAACACGCGACGAACCTTCCAGTGCTTCGCATGTTCGAGAAGCCTGTTCCATGTGAGCCATGTCCTGGTTGAAGGCTGCGGCTGTCCTTAATCGATTGCTCTGCACCATATAGGGCCATGCTGCAATGCCGCACCAAGCGGTGCTACAGAACTTGCCCGATCTTGCTTGCAAGCATCTGGAGGGCACTCGGAGGCTGCAAGCTCTGCAACCCGCACTCGCCGCTTTTGGCTTTGTAAGGCATTTCGCTCTCTTTGCGAAGGCCCACGTGCATGGCCTTGCATGAAAAAAAAACAAAAAGAGACAGTCGCTAAGAGAAGATCTCTGTGCGCAGCCGAAACACATAACTCATCGCCAGTTCTACTGTGGCCCCTGTGCAGCCACCCTTTCCACCACAGTGCTTCGGATTCGGGACACAATCCACAAGCTCCTGCCAGGGCAGGAAGGCGCGGCGCCCGCTACATCCGCGGAAAACCGCAAGCGCACGGCTGGTGCGGCGGCCTGAGCTGCGAAGCTCCGCGGTCGGCCGCTGATCTCTGCGTGAGCCGTGAGGACAACGGCACTCGTCACGGCCCAACACGAGCCGCAGCCGCCCTCGGCGGTCGCTTCGCTTTGGCTGGCTCTGGCTGTCCACGCTCTTTGTTTGCAGATGCTTGCAGACGCTTGCAGGTGCTTGCGCAGCTTGCAGCCGGGGCTCTTGGCTCGCCACTTCGCGCAGAGCAGCCAGCGAGGTCCAGTTGAACTGCTCCGGCAGCGAGCGCACCTGTGCCAAAGGCACAGCAATGGCCAATGGCCGTGGCCCTGTGTGGCTCAGAGCCGGAGTCCGGCCGCCCGGCCTGCACCAGACTAGGGTCGTCTGCTTGGGAGTCGGAGCCAGCTGTGCCACGCCAGCCGCGCAGCGCCTGCAGCTCCTCGTCGCGATAGTCCTCACTGAGACTCCAGGGCCAGGGTCGCCCCCGTCCCCCCATTTTCGAAGTGACGAGTCACTGCCAGGGGCCCGAGGCCCGCAGTCCAGCGACGCGAGGGGCGGCGATTCAGCGCCTGCACCTTCCCACGTTAGCAGACAGAAGCATCCTAGCTATATCCAGGGATGTAGCGGTGTGCGGACGTTTCGAAAAGTGCCGAGACGAGCCTCCTCCGCCCGTGCCTGGAAGATCCTATGCCTCTCCTCGAATTCTCGAGAGCCGGGTTCGTAGCCTCGGGAAGGCACTGCGACGCAGGCAAACGAGCACAACAGTTGCACGTATTTGTCACCTTCTAAGCCGAGCTGCTGCGCTGAAATCGATGGACGAAGTCCTCGAAGGACTCGGCGCTTTCACTCGCCGTCGCAGCTGCCAATCCAAGGCACGGCCACCGCCAGATGGCCCATGACGGCATTGCCTACAAAACAGCTGGCGTTACAGCAGGAGCGAGGCAGCGCACCTCGCATGGAAGCACTTTCGGATTAGAGCAAAGAAGCTGCGGAAAGGAACGTCAGAGTATAGTGTGTGAGACTAGTGTGTCTGTTCTCAATTTTGATGTCCGCTGAAGACCTCGTCGAGCTTTGCGACGGCCTGCTGGAGTTGAAGCTGCAGCTTCTCCTCGTGGCCAAGCCAAGGGCATTGTCTGAAGATACTAAATATGCCAATTGTTGCGTATTCTCCGCTCCTCGGCACTGGTGAAGCTGGTCGACATCATGGCCAGTTGACGTTCTGCCTTCCATAGCTCTCAGTGGTTTGGAGGTCAGCGAGTCAGAGAAGTGCCTCCGATGACAACGCTGCCGTCGCACGCTCGCTCGCGGCCCCGACCTTGCATCGGACATTCGCAGGTTCTTGAGCCGGGATCGCGAACACCGTGAACCGAAGCAGGCACAAAGAAGGAGGTGTTGCTTCACGCAGCAATGATTCCACTCGACAGGTCTTCTAGAGCCCAGCTCCCACTGAGGCAGAGCTCGGACCCCCGACCGCAGATGACGTCGCTTGCAGCGCAGAAGCCTGGAGGAGAGTCAAGAGCGCAACCGTCTCTCAGAGTCAAGAAGCAAAGCAAACCCCTGACTGAGCACACGCACCTGTTCTGCCATGGCCTCCGCCATGCCTTGCACCTCAGCTGTGCGTCCGACCAGGGGCTCCCAACGCATGATGAGGAGATCCTCGAACCGATGCCTGGCAAGAACCTCAAGGCCTGCACAAGCTCTCAAGCTCTCCTTTAAAGGTTCTACATCCCTTTACTCTTTACTCGTTCAAACAGCACATCGCATCGTCGTCATCAGGCATCACCTGCTACCCTGGCAAACCCCCACGCAGATGTGCTTTCTTTAGTGAGCTGAGGAGAAAGCGCAGAAATAGCACCCCGAGGGCTCTTGAAAGCACCCTGGCCCGAGCCGTGCGCGGAGGCCGAGTGCTGCTCAACCCCAGCGCTCTTCTCCCGCACGAGCTCCGCCTCAGCGACACAGCGAAGAAGAGGGGAAAAACTTGGCTTGTACTATTACATCAAACATTCAATTATTTTGAGCTCCGCCTCTGCCGCCTCCGTCTACGGTGGGAGCCGAGCTCCGTGCGTTGGTTTGCACGGCCAGCAGGGCATTCCGGGCTGCAGAGGCGTGCGTCTCAGCTGTTTCAACCTCGTGGGTTCGAGAAGGCACAAGCAGTCACAAGCATGGAATCCCTCGCTGCAATCATGCGGCGCTTCGTGACCCGGCATCAGCTGACTTCTGCGCGTCACGAGCGTGATTCTCCGCAGCTGCAACCTCCGTGCATATTTCCGAGAGCATGCAAACATGTGGAGGGAGCTCCTTCCAAACACTGCTGCAAGCCGAGATGCCGCTGTGGCCACAGCTTCTACAGCACTCTGGGCGACGGCTGCCTGGCTTTCTGCAGATGTCGCCTGGGGTCACGGCAAGGTCTCGCCAACGCGGAACGCATCTGCTGCTGACAGCCATGAGAAGTGCCACCACAGAGTTCCAGGCCTGCGAAGCAGCTGAAGCTGCCGACTCCTGCGCCCGAAGGACCTCAGGCCGGGATGTGGTGGCAGCTGGCATGCAGCACAGCAGCGTATCACTCCGCATCTCCGCCAAGGCCGAAGCGGCAGTCCGCACCTCGCCTGTGCGTGTAAGAGAAAAACACAGGCCCTCAAAACCAACCAACAAAAACAGCAACTCTGTCATCACCCATCAGCCCTCAACTTACCCCCAACCTGCGAGGCTGTCAGCCAATGCAGCATGCTGCGCCTCCCACGCACAAAAATGCAGGAGACCCAGAAGTTGCGGACATGTGCCGAGATTTGCACATCACGATTCACAGTCACATCGCTGCCACGAGTCTTCTTCGCTGGCTATACTTGTGTCTGAAGGAGGCCCGACATCACACTCTGAATGTTGGCTTCGCAAGAACTGACAAGGAAAAGTTGCAACAGCTTCTTGGTCTGAGTGGGTTCGCATCATGCAAGATGATCTAGATGCGAACCCCTATAAATCCTTTGGCATAAGTTTCGTTGCCAAGTGCTCGTGATATGAGCCCCTGTGTCCCCCGAAGAAGCTGAGCTTGCGAACTGCAAGCTGCTGCGCTTGAAGTGCTTCGGCAGGGCTGGGCCTCAGCTCTGCAGCGGCGATCTGCAACTCCGAGGGCAGACTCGGGGCGCTGCTGCTGCTGAAGCCGCGCATCAAGAACATCGACCTGCCTCTGCGCGGCCTGCGGCGTACACAGGCGGGCTCGGTCAGGGCTCAAAGGAAAGGCAAGGACACGAACCGGCTCCGCGTGGTTCCGGGCCTGCACCAGCTGCTCCAGCTTCTTGACCTCAACCTCCTGCAAAGACCACCGCACAAACCGGGCGGCCCCGAGGAAAGATCTCAACTGAAAGGACTTCGAACGACCTGCTTCTTCGGTTGGTTCCTGCAGAGACATTGGATTAGAATTGCGCGTTCTATGAGCTGGCTCGACACTCATCAAAGCCCCGGAGAAGCCCACTCAAATCTTAAACTCGTGAGAGCTGGTGGCTCATGGTTCTTATAGACCTGTCTGCCGGACGCTCATGCAAGTTTATACACATGCTACAAAAGTTTTGAAAGTTTTATGCTTGCTTTTAAGATTCATTGGGGTTAGAGCGTTCAGCGTTTTACGGCTTGGGTTTCAGCTCTGCAATTACAAGGCTCCTGCCCACAGCCCCTTGAGCCTCCAACAATGCTTGCAAACAACCAGACCGTTAAGACCGCAAGAAGCGACCGAACAGCCTACAACAACCCTGCCTGGATACTTAGGGCTCTCTGGTACAAGATACTTGTCGTGTAATTGTATTGGGGTGGAAGGCAACATGACCAGCACGTGCTCCTACCTCTGACTTGTCCCACACCAGACTCACGGGAGCACCCTCCGCACAGACCTGACAAGCCTTTCCACCCATGGCACCTGTTGAGAGTATAGCTGGCCCAACGTCAGGAGCAAGTTGAAGAAACGAATTGCAGAAGCAGCAGCGTTTGAAACATGCTTGACACGGGAAGCACAACCTATGGAAACCTACGCCCCCTTGATACTCCCTGCCCCGTCCTGCGACCTCTCCACCTGCTGCCTCAACCTGCGAAACAACTCAAGTCCGCTTCTCGTCGGTGCGATCTGTGCAATCCAAGATGCTGGTCGCAAAGCGCTTCGGCATGCTGCTTCGAGGCTGCACAGTCCTGTGTGACATTGTCATGAGGACGGACCATGCCTCCGGCGTTGCTGAGAGCCGTCCTCTGCAGCTCTTGCAGCTAACTCCTGCGCCACTGTCTCGCAGGCGGCCTCTCGTGGGTTCATGGATGCCACGGGCGGGTTCTGAGCCAAGCCCAACGGCCTTTACGCCCTGAGTCTGCATGGACAGCTCCTCACGCCTCAGAGAGATGCGGGGCGGCTCATGGCACCGCGGCACCGCACCGCGGCAGAAGAACCAACTGCTGGGCACCCTGCAGCTCACCAAGGAGCCTCCGCGTCTGCTCCTCCTGCCTCGGCCCCGCGGCCTCTGCAGAGAGGAGCAGAGAGAGAGAGGCGCCGTACCACCACCCACCCACCCGCTCGGGGGCGGCCTTGAGGCCGGCCATGTCCAAGAGGCCCTCTCTGAGAGCCCTTGCCTGGAGATCCTTGGCGCTGAAAACTGAGGCTGAGGCTCCCCTTTTCTTGCAGACGCCATGCAAGTATCAGCCACGGACCAACTGCTCCTTGTGGGAGGAGACATCTTCACCTTCAGTGGCTCCAGTGCTCTGGCATCCCGAAGGCGCGGACGCAACTGGGGCCAGCTGCGAATCTTCGCCAAGGCCTGCCAAAACATCCTACTCTGCCCAATCTCTGCGCAGGCTGGCGTGTGTAGAGCCTCCTCCAACGTGCCACCCAGGAGAGTCTGCGCCAGCTCTTTCAGGATGGCCTCTACACTCTACACGGGAGCTACGCTGCCACGGCTCGGGAACGATGCTAAACAGTACAGACAATGCCCCAAACTCCAAGGTCCTGCAGGCAGAACGGCAGAACTGCTTCGATTTTCTCACGTATCAGAACACGATCCTTCCACCAGAGGTTTCCGCCCAGTTGAAGGGAGCTGCGGCAGGGCCACTCAGACTATGTACAGAGGTCCTCGGCAGTCTGCACGAACCAGGTCGATCCGTGCAAGTCTAGATCTCATCCCCTTGCTCCACAGCATTTCTTACTTGTCTGAGACTGCAGCTGCTGGCTGTCCTCAGGCCAGTGCATACTCGACAACAACAGCACGGTCGTGCTCAGGCCACCTCTGTTCTGCTGGGAAGCGTCCTTGGGATGCTCGCCGACAGTGATGCCTCTTTTGTGGTCCCGCTCCCAGTCCTGACAGCACGGAGATGCGCCCCGTTCGATCCCTTGCAAAACCACGGCTTGTTCTTGCCTCCATTCGGGCTGCTTCACGCTCCATGCTCCACCGAATCCTCTCCAGCTCCAGGGCTTCGTCTGGAATGGCAGATGACATCCTCGGCGGCATACGATGCAGCCCTTCGGATGTCAACTTGGCGAGGAGATGTGGAGACAAGGGACGCATCGTGACGGACCTCATCCGTCTGCCGCGCCTCACCGGAAACAGGGTATAGGGCGACAGTCGTGGGCAGCGCCCCACCAACCCCACCCAACCTGTCTTCTTTGGTGTAGGAGCATTTCTTGAAGAGCGCTCAGGGTCAGTGGCTTCTCGACCGCTTTTCTGCAATCCTCGACATGCCAAGCATCCGATGCAATGCCCGAGTCTCATCTGCAACAGAAAGGGTGGCAATTCACAAGAACGAATCATAAGATTTCCTTGAGGACCACCGTCCTGGTAGCCGGACGAAGGCTCGCGTGGAAAGAGCTCCACGGACTGCAGGTCCCGGCACAGCTCCTGACTTGCAGGCTGCAAGGAGCGAAATTGCGGAAGCTTGTCTACATGTTTCGGTTGTGGCCAGACGGCCTCATCGTTTGCAGGTAGATTCATGGTGGTTGTTGGATCAAGAGTGAAGCCAGAGCGAAGCTGATGCACTGATGTTGCCTGCCGTACTGCCCTTCTGCCCCCTTTTTCATCTTTCGGGGTCTTCGATCATCATGTCTGTCGCGACTGCCGTTGTCGATTGCATGAGCGTGCTGCCGATGAGCTCTATCATATGAGCATCACGCTGCTCACAGGTTCAGTGCCGGTTGTCAACCGCGTAACCCAACCTGTGCGAACTAGATGCTTCAGTTCTCAATCTGTATGCTTCCGAACCCTGCCGCTCCATGTCTTCTGAAATTGGCTACGTATGCTATGTATGCCAAAATCGCTAACGTTACGCATGTAGCCATTTTTCGGCTACGTACAGACAGCCTACCCGTGATCCGCGTGATTCTGAGAACCAGCCGCCCGTGATTTGCGTGATTCTGCTTTCTGCTTTTGGCCGGTGTAAGCCTTGCATCTAAACATTAACGAATGGTCCCTGGCAAATAAGAATATTTTGTTCCAAGCCAGCCAAGCAACGAAATGAGAAGCTTTTGAGATCCTGAAGTAGCCGCCCCACTGCTTCAATGACTTCGAAGTACTCAAGACCACGAATTCCCGATTTTATTGTGGGTGCGCTTCGATCAGCAGTCGCGTACCAGTCCCGCAAGAGCTGACACGTGGCAAAATCGTCGCAGTGACCATTCTTTTTTGGTTCAGAAACAAGTTCAGCGGCCTGTAGACATGCAGTAAACGAGGTTGGCAATGTATTACACAACAAAGGTGATGTGAGCCGCAAGTCAATAAGCAGTTTGAAACTTAAAAAGGTGATCTAATGATCTTGTTTCACAGAGATGTTTGCAGAGATGCTGCGGGGACCGTGTGGGATGCATGCAAGTAAGTCTTATAAGACTCGTATACCCACCAGACTGTAGTCTACTCCCCGACGAAGAAACAAGTTAGTTCTGTTCGATCCGATGGGTTCCTGGTGTTGGGAAGGGTCTGTGATTGATTTTGCTCGTGCCCGGGTTCAGTCGGCTCGACTTCGGGATCAACGCACTCACGAATCCAAGTCTTTGTTACCAAGCTTTTGTGAAGCTGCACGACCCATTTCGGACCAGGGCGTACGGCGTAAACTTTGCCTTGCACTCCTCGCTCTGTGCGGATGCTAGGGTTGCAAGATAATCCAATATCGACCTTTTTGTGCAAAAGGCGTGTGGAATGCGGGAAACCGCCTTCGATTCTTCTGGCTCTGCATCACTTGCCTTTGAGGTTTTCAAACTAAGTTTGATTGTAGTTGCAAATGCAGTCTATGTGGTCAGTTTATGCTGGCCATCTCGAACTTTGCCTTGATCTCGCAGGCTTGGTTGCGTCATTTTCGTTTGGTCGATCCACATGTTTGTTTCAATACGTGTATGCACGCGTATATGGAAGTCGTTTATAACCACGATCAGCCAGATCCTATAGGCCCGAACTCAAACCAGCCAGTATACACCCCTTTGTCTGCCCAGTTCAGGTCGTGCCCCAAGCGCACTAAGTAGAGCATCTCATGATAGCAAGCTCGGCGAATCCAACTGGAAATATTTGTCAATGCCATGTTCGTGCAAGCAATGATCATGGTCACAATTTGCTTTTTTTTCAACTCCAGCCCTGGCTTTGTTAACAGCATGATTTCATTAGTCTGTTCGGTGCTCCCAAACCCATGAAGTCAAAAGCTCTATCTGGACACGGGCTCAAACATGCCAAGACTAGCACACTGCAGACAGGGAAGCTCATGTGCCTTTTCAAAGCCGGGAACCATTCGGAAACGGTTTGAAAGACAATTAGATGCACGGGTGTGTCATGTACAATTTTCATGCCCTTGCTTTCTATACTTGTTCTCAAGGGCGTCCTCCAATTCTGTGCATGGCAATGTTTTCTGGGAACTGACGGCCACATTAGAGTTTGACATATCTTTAAGCACGTGTCCATGCAGTACCATTTGCTGGTGTCCATGCCCTGTCTGTGTATTGATAGGTTTCTCCGGAGATGCAAATCTTGGCGTGGTTCAAACATTCCCTAGCCGTATGGGGCATATAGGAGTCCAAGGCATATACTCAGGTTGCCCTGTGTTGGAAAAACGAATCTAGGCGTCGCTTCCTGTGTACAAGTTTCGTTTAGTTCTAAAGCCACGTGGCTTTCCGAGGGATCCGGTCTAACACGTATTGGGAAACCTTGAGGTGAGGAGGGAGACTGTGCTAATGGATAGCTTAAGTGTTCTAACACATATCCTTTTTTCCTCACGCCAAACAGTGTTGTTTGCAAGTCTTCTTTGAGGCCTTCATGAGTCCCTGTGTAGGCATCCGTATGGGTCCTTCCCGCGCGTTTGCTGTCACAAATCGTGAATGTCCTCCGAATAAGTGTTGTGACAAGGTTTTGCCTTACATAAGCGTTGCAGACCTTATCCTTTGATTAAAATGGACGAGAATTGTCATTTGCCATACACAAGCAGGCGAAAGAAATGCAATGATGAACCAAGTAGCGCCCTTGTCGAAAATCCAAGGGTTCCAACGAAGTTTGTATGAAATCTCCACTTGTATACCTGTTGATACCTGCATGTTTTGTGAAACTAGGTGCATTTCCCGACGTTGCCATCCCCTTCAAACCATAGCTCAGGCACATAACTCTAGAAGGGATCCTACTGCTGAGTTTACTTGGTTTGAATGCCTGGTCTGCTGCTTACTTGGCATGTGGGTCCCCTTCAGGGCGCACCTGTTTCCGCAGCGAGCATGCTGTCTAGCTATAGGTACAAGGCCGCATTAAAACGCATGTGTCAGATGTGTCATCCCCGAAGCGCCGATTTAGCAAAGAGTTTCGAGTTTGTGTCTGACGCCTGGATGCAAAGACACGGCGGCAAAAAAGGCAAGGCGTGATTTCGCGTGATCTTGCGTGATTTCTGGGCGCGTGATGTGCGTGATTTGTATAAAGTCAAGTCATAGGGCCCCAGCGGCCCGTGATTTCGCGTGATTTGGCGTGATCGGTCGGGTTGCGGCTGGGGCCTGAAGGTGCTGGCAGGTGAGTTTCTGGCTTTTGGGATTCGATTTGCTCCTTCGGCACCCCCAGACACGGTTGTTTGGAAACTCCTACAGGTTGTTTGGAAACTCATACAGCGTTAAGTCCCCAACAATGCTAACTGCTACCCTGCGCCACACCATATCTGGACAGTGTATAGGCTAAGCTGTTTGAGGTACATGTCATAGACTTGGAGCCTTGCATCCAGAAACTATTGACCATTACGTTCCAACCCACAATCCCTCTTCATATCTCCACGCCCTGGCAATCCGGACCCCAAAGCCTGACACTTCACCGGAAGCCCCTTTGCTCTTTTTTCTTCTCCTGTAAACAACCCCAAACACCCAACCCCCAACGCTTTTTATCCAGTAACCTTACACCCCACAAGTCTGAGAACAAAAAACTAACTGCGATAAACCGCTCCGCACTTTTAAACCTTCAGGCCCAAACCCTTCCACCTTTAAACACTCCGCTTTCCAGACTGTCACACTGCCGACCTCGAAATGTTGGAAAGACCAGCCTTACACCGTCAAGCCGAACATGCTTAAACCCTCGAGCCTTCAGCCTTCAGCACAAAATCGTCGCGCGGTAGTTCGCCAGCGCTTATACACTTACTCCCCAGAACCAGTCTAAACCCTTTATCAACTACATTCTCACACCTTGGAGCCCTTCAAACTTAGAGCCCATTGCGCAAGTTAACCTTGTCCAACATGTTTAGACCCCCCATTATGACCTCAAACCCAAAATCCTTGAACCCTGGAAGCCTGAACCCTGCATCCCGAAGTACGAAAAAGTTCAACCTGTGAAATTCCGCCCGAGCACAGTTGAAGTTTAGGGCAACGTGATATATGCAGCCCGAACCTTCGTTTGACCGAATTTCGCTTGCCCGAATTACAGGTAAAGAAGCCTGCAAATTGTTGACCGATTGCTTTTGCAATCCTAAACACGGTTCGTTGCTTTTCCACAGAAACTGTATGCGGGTTTTGTTTGCATTATGTAATGGTTTCATTTACGTTTGCTTATAATTCGAGAGCCGTCGGAACCAATTTCATTGTCGATCCAATTTTCCATACCGTAAAAAGTCATGGCACAATGGCAACCAATAGTTTTACATAGAACTCAGCTTGGGAAGGAAATCCATCTCAAACTCCCGAAGACCCTGCGATGCGAGACACTTCAGACTTTACAAGCATGTTGGCTTCGAAACAATCGAACAGCTCCACACTATTTACTTCACTCCGACTAGCCACCCTTTTGACTTTTTTGCAGATTCGGGCAGTTACATACGATGCCTTACAATCGACGTGCATACATTCGTCAACTATATCCAAACCTGTCGCATGTTTTCGCCAAGTACCTGCATGTGGCGTGTATGTGACATCTAGATCTACGCACAACATACAGTTTTTGTCAGCAGGTTACGGCATCCATGATTTTGTGTTGGGGGTTGCTGGGAGCATAGCTGCAACTGCATCGGGGCAGTACAATTGCCGATCAGGGTTACAGTGTACAAACGTGATCTATGACGCTGGAACTTCTAGTAGTTTTCGCATTGAAAAATTTCACAATGCAGCATTTGGGTTCAATGCATCTGTCTGAGAAGTGTACCCTATTGTCGGTCACGATGTTACGGATGCCGGGATGTGTGGGGAAACTCCATCGTTCTGATTTTGAGAAGCTCACCGCAACAGTTACAATGCAAGTCGAAGATGTTGACCCACGGCTTACTGCCATATTTTTCTTTCATGTTATGAGGTTGGGATTCAAATGCAGTTGCATTTTCCCACACTTACCTAGCCCCCCTGACTTTCCAAACTCTTACCCGAGGCAGTGGCCAGAACGCCTATATTGTGTTGAAACTCTTTTGGTTGTACGCACACGTCTCGTGTGTACGTGCACTTTTGGGACTGCTTGGTCGCCAAGGACGTTTACAGTCGAAAGTATAAAGTACATATGACATTGAGTGCTGTTAACCGACCCCAAGCCTAGGATACAAAAGAACCCAAAGGGACGCCTCCCTGGACCGTGATGTGCCGGCTTTCGTGAGATGGCGGGTGTAGCGGTGGGTGTGGAAGGGTTGTGTGTGTTTGTGATTGTTTTGCATGCCTAACTACAATGGCTTTGAAGCTGTTGCGGATCAACGCTGACTAAATCCCTGGCCCTAGACTATTTGTTGGCTCCGTGTCTTCGATTATAACGTAAAAAGGGAGGGTATTGTCGTTCAATGTGTTTACATATGCACACACAGGAGGGTGTCTGGACTCTGGCAGGAATCTGATTTTCATGATTTGGGATCAATGTCGCTTAGCACGGGCAACGTTGGAGCATCAGGGTATATCAGACCTGGAAACCCATGCGCTATTCTTTTTTGGCCCACTCGTTGCAAAAAACATGTGGTTTTGTGCCGGCTCTGGTACGTGAGAAGTCATCCTGAACCCTCTCAAAAATCACGATATTCATGGTTTTCCATGGTTTCTGTATGTATCCGATTTTCGCATACGCAAGGGCAAAATCCATAAATGTAGCCTTCAGCGGTAACGTACGCGAATGTAGGCAAATAGCACCAACATTGGAGCATCAGGGGAAGGATGTGAAGCTGGAAGATGTGCGTGTGTGTGCTCTCAGAAGTATAGGCCGAACAGTAGCAGCACGAGCCATCCGGCTTGTCACAAGATCGACAACGCAGGTCACGTGAAGCACTGCAGAGCTTCCATCAAGCCAACGTGACCAAGGTGTGACAGGCTTGCGTGAAACTTGCAACACAGGGATGCACGCGGCATGCTGGCATGCGGCTCCCATCTTGGCGTCCTTCAGCTCTTTGCTGAGATGCTCGCACGGTAGAGTGTAGCGCAGCACCATGTCTGCCAGCTCTTGCCGGTGAGAGTTCACCAGCCCAGCAGACCAGTTCATCACGCACGCCCCAAGACCTGCGCGAAGCGCAATCGTTAAACAGACCAAAAGGAAAGGAAACGGACCCCGTTTCGCACTTCGCGCCGCACCTGCGAGCGACTGGGCCAGGGCTGAAATCTGCAGCCGCAGCACTTCCAGCTCGTAGCCCAGGCCTCTGACAAGTTTTTGACCTCGCTTAAGAGCTTCGGGCCTAGGGCCTAGGGCCTGAGCTTGGGCTCTGGAAGCTCGTCGCATGGCTCTTCGAGCTCACGGGGCTGGCACTTTGCAAATCTCTTGGCTTCAGGGCCTCAAGCAGCCAGAAAGGAAAGGCTGAAGCCCTTTTTTGTGGCAAGCGGCGCAAGTGTCTGAGGGCGGCCGAGAGGCCGGGAGTGGGAGAAGATCCGAGAGGCTCGCGTCCAGGGACCGCGGCCTCGAAGGGCTCACGGGCACGAGCAACAGCACTGCTTTCCGCTTCAAGCAAGCACTCGGATCGGGCGCCAAGGCGCGCCGCGTCCCGGGTGGGCGAGGGGACCCTTCGCGTGGCCCACTCTGGAGTCCAGGAATCCGCATCTGAGGATCGACAAAGCGAGGCAAAGCTGTGAGGCTGCACCGCGGCACCGCCGTAGCACCCTGCACCTGGAGCTGGCGGGGCTTCCTTGCGCAGCTTCAGGCCACCCACGAAGTTCCCCAGCCTCGCAAAGACAAAGCTGCCCAGAAAGCAATGGAAAGAAGGAGAGGCATTTGGGAGGCGGCTCTACCAGCTGGCTCTTGAGGAGCTCCCCCAAATTGCCGTCGTCGGGCTCTCTGGACTCGGTTGAGGCCCCAAGACCCAGCACCTCAAGAGTCTCACAAACTTTTTGGGGCTCCGCGGGGGAGCGATCGGGTGCAGCCAAAGCACCGGCGCTGCTGCCAACGCCTGCAGCGAGGTTGCAGGAGCACCTTGCACGGTAATCGAAGCTAGGCGGACAACTTCAAGGCAAAGTTGCTTGCCTGTTGCCATTCCATTTCTCGCATCCTCTCCAAAGATGGAGCTCATCAGCGTCGGCTCAAAGGCTGAAAGCACACGAATGGTCAGCATGCCAGACCGGTTGTGCTGTTTATCAATCATATTACACCCTGTCGTAGATAGAAAGCAATCGTTGCACATGTGCTGGTGTCACGAAACAATTCTGTGAGGCTGTGTGCTCTGCTTGAGAAGGGCCGGCAGGGTGTCATACAAGCATGGAAGGTGCATCTATGCCTTCTTTCCGACAAGAACTTGAGGAAGGGCCTGTTGCGAGTAGACCTCCGCCTTCAGCTTCTCCATGTCTTGTTCCCGGTGAGATTTGTCTTCGTCCAGCTGACGCAGGACCTGCTTACTGCACCAAGACACCAGTACCAGAGCACCGTCATCCTCGTCACTCTGGCGACGTCCCACCTCCTTCAAGAGGTTGGTGGTACCAGCCTGTGCGCCGCCAGGCTGAAAGCGAAGGTTACCGACCCGGAGCTCCGCCTCTTGCATCTGATATCCCACTGCCTGGGATGGGAAGTCATGGCATCTGTGGGTTCACGGAGACTCAAGGCTGCGCCTCTTCATGGTACCCCTTGACCTGGGAAAACCTGCTGCCGACAGCTCATAAGCATGGAAAAAGGAGACCACCCGACACCACGTGCACTGCAACATCACGAAACACAAAAGGCCTGGAGAAGGTCCCATCGTTCAGGAGGGTTCCGGTCCCGGGCCTGGCCAGCACTCTCCGCCCGGCAGAAAGACGTCGAAACTCTGTCATCAACGCAAGAGGCGGCAAGGCGCGTGTTGATCCTTCATCCCATGCGACTCGAAATCTTCGAGGAGCGTGTCGTGCCCTCCCCTATGGTGCAGCTTCTCAGAAGCTGCTCCAACCGTCAGCCCCTGAAAGAGACCCGGCATGGGGCATGTGTGCCTACGGGCCAACCTCACAAACGTGCATCCACTTCGAATTCTCGAAAGTGGAGGCACGTTTCGAGCCTCTTTACATGCACAAAGCTGATGTGATCAGCACAGCTGCCATCATTCCGGCGGGGCGCCCGGCCGCAGCTAATTCGTCCGAATCGAAGGCCTCGCGTGGGACCGGCAGAAAGGAGAGAGGGCTGCGGGCTGCTGCTTGAGAATCTCGGAGTGTGGCCACGGAAGTTGATGTAAGGGTGGAACCGGTTGTGGTGATCCTGCAGCGCGGAGCGCGGGAAAGCAAGCTCAGCAAGATGGTCTTGCACTGTGGACAAACTGCTGAATTTGTTGCCCAGGATCGTTCCCGCAATCGTGGAGGAGGTGCCTGCCACCAGGCGAGTGCTGCCTATCCGATCCAGCATGGTGCCTCAACCGTGGGCATTCCCCTCATCTTGGCACCCCCACCCGTTATCGTGGACGTCGAAGTACGAGTCGCACCTTTGCACTGCTTCAGGCACTAAACACAACCTCACTAGACTTCTTGGATTTCAGCCTGAGTGTGTGGTGGTGGAAGCTGTCGCGCTTGTCACGGTTGCAGTGCCTCAGCACGGAGCATTGCATAATAAGAACTGAGCTCCTCACCATGACATGAAACCCCACTGCAGTGCACCGAGGCTTGTGCTACGAGTAGTGCTTGTCGCCGTGGTGCTGGTTTCTGACAGTAGCTAGCTCTGTCGTACGACTCACTGCAACAGCGTCAAGAAGCTTCTCCTTGTGCCGGTGCATGCTGCCACTCATCTCCGAGAACATGTCGCGGCGACAAGTCACTGCAAACCTTGCCACGGTCCGCAATTTGTCCAGAGTCCGCTCGACCTCTCGAAACAAGCCGGGTGGCTTGAGCAGGTGCCGCGCAAGTGATTGTGCCGCCTTCGCGATGCAAGGCCAGGAAAGGAACATCAAGCTACGGATCCGGGAGCACCATGCCTGCACCGGCCAGTGTCCTTGAGCATTGTGCAGCATTGCAGCATGGAGCGCCACGTGCAGGCACGATCACACTTCGACCAAGGAGCAGCTTCTGACCTTCGTTCGTGCAGCTTCCAACCGACAGAAAGGCTGTCGGGTCTGTCTGGTCAGCCACCTGCCGGAGCATTGAGGGCTATTGAGAGAGCACAAGGGAATGCCACCTTACTCTCCAGACTGCCTGGAGCTGATAACTTTGCCCACCGTCGGTGCAGGCCACTTTGTAGCAGACCGGCCTCCACAGTCAACAGGGACAAGTTCAAGCCTTGCACAGCCGGCATTCGGGCAGACTGTGCGGGCGAAGCTTGCGCACCTCTGGTTGACAAAATCATCTGGCGACGCCACGAATGTACCTGCAGCACTGCACACTACACCTGCTGCAACAAACCGTTGCGATGAGGCGGACTGTCCCGCTCTACCCACGAGCCTCCGTTGTCAGCTGGAACATCCTGGTGTAGTGTGCTCATGAAGCACCGGCTTTCCGCCGAGAAGACTTCCTTCATGAAGTTGACGTTCCCATATGGCACGGTGACTGATTCGTTGTTGGAGCAGACACCTCGCGCACCAAAGCCGAAGCTACGCGTCGTAGGCAGCGATTTCAGGGAGGATCCGCGGTCTTACACGGATGGGGCGAAGGACTGCAACGGCTGAGCCAAACTGCTGAGCTCTGCCAAGTCTCGATTCACGTAACGCACGGCATAGTGTGGGCAGTAATCAGCTGCGGCCAAACGGCCCAGGCCGTTGTCAGGCGTGTACTGGTACACCGGCGGAACTGAATCCAGAAGCTGAATGTCACAACCCAGAACGGATCTCCTGTCCAACGAGCACGATACATCTGCAGAGCTGCTGCAAAACTGTGGAGAAACCTTGGTGCCAATATAGCAAGACGAGACAGACTGGGCAAGAATACTGAAATCAGACGAAAGATGTACGAAATAAGAGACTGGAAACGGGTGTCCCACCATCAACACACTTTGCTGTTGCAAAATTGCAGCCCTGCTTGTAGCCCCAGTGAACGCCGGGAATCAAGGGATCAGCAGCAGAGAGGTTTGCATTGTACCAACCAGAGTCCTGGAACACAGCTAAGCCTCAGCCGCAAGGAGCTTGCAGCTTGCCAAACATCAGAAAAAGCAAGGCAGCTCCAGGCGCTGGAGCCTACGCAAAGCTGGCACCAGCCCGCTGCAAGCAAACCCAATTACTCTCAGATCGGAAACACCGCTTCCGGAAATGGCAGGCAGTCTTTTTAGTGACCTCTCTCTCTGCGGCAGCATTTGAGCATTGGCTCGGGTATGCTGCACCGAGTCTGGACTTTCAACCAAATGATTCAAGAGGGACAGAGCAGGCCAAGTGTCTCCTAAATGTCGGGGGAAGTGGTGGGTGTTGACCGTCCCACAAAGAAAACGACACCGACGATCGTACCATGTTCTGAAGCAAACCCCCGGCACTGACAATCGTCGTCCCTGCACTTTGTTTCAGTGGAGAGGCTGACTCGGGAAACGTAGGTGTCAATCAAGTGCTCCGAAGACGCAGGCGCCATCAGCTCGGAAGTGAACACCCTCTGCTCCCAGTGACTGTTAATGATGCTGCAACCGCTGCCTGTCATTGCCACAGAAGCACTGCGGATGCACGGGACAGTATGCAGTATGCTCGAATTGGAACCGACATCGCCCCAAACCGGCCTTCTTGGTTCTCCAGCTCTGCACCAGCGAGTGTCGGACAATCAAAGAAGTCCCTGACCTGAAGGCATCCCCGAAGCTCGGCTCTCATTGGCGCATGTCGAATATCTGCCTTTCCCATTGAGCAGAACACTCAAGTGTGAGTCTTTGGATCTTGTGATTCTTCGGTGCAAACACGGCTCAACTTGAGTGGTCAAAGAGCGATACCACACAAGCATCGACTCAAACTAAATGCTCCGTCTGCGTTTGTCGCCTTGGGAGGTTAAGTCAAGACAAATGACACCACTTCGAGACCGTTGCTCTGAGTTTCGACCCAGAAATCTTGGACTTTGCGTGGACGATTCGCAAGAAGAAGAAAATGTAGCTACGATGGATACGAGAGCTGGAGCATCTGCTGCTACGGCAGTGCCTCGCGGAGCACCGTCGGCGTCTTCAGTCGCACCACGCAGCTCGGCATCTGCAGATACGGTGCACCAGCAGGGTAGAAGCATCCTGACTCGCAGAAACGATCTCCAGCTCCGCACAAGATATCAATGATTGAGACCTACAGATAGCTTAGTAGCGGATGATAGAAGGGTCAGTGGTTCATGACTCGTTCGGTTGCCTGTCCTGGACTGAAGCTCGGCGTGCCGATCGGGCACTGGCAGCTGTAGCCCCGCTCGTCGAATGTGTCAAGGATGTCAGGACTAAGATCCACGTACCTTCTCCGAATCAAATCACCACAAGCTTGAGCAACACTGGTTTCGACAGGAGCTTAGCTTGTGATTCAATGCCTTCAATCAACCTCGACTTTTCCGCTCCAAAACGTCACGGCAAACATCCAGATGTCAAAGTTTGCCACGAGCACATCCGAGCTTGCCCCGGCTTCGCCACATGTGGCTATGGTTTCGTTTGGGATTCTGGGAATCCCGGATCATTCAAAGAACTTGTCATTGTCTCCAAAGCCCCTGCAACCCAAAAATCCTGGAGTCCTGCCTGCGGCCGCCGCTTGTATCATTCCAGAGGAAGGAGTCGGCACTGCAGGAATACCGAACTTCGTCTTGGTACAGCCTTGGATCTCCAGCTTCCCTGGGAATCATTGGGGTTCCATCGGCATTGCGGAAGTTGCGGAAGTGCTCGTTGCTGAAGACGAGCACATGCGCCAACTCATGCAAAGCAGTGGAAATCATTCCGTTCAGCTCATCGGGCGATGTGGACAGCTGCGATGGGCAGAAGTTGATAAACCCAAACACAGGACGGTCACACTGGTCAACGCCGCAGGAAATGGCATAAGCCAGCAGAGTGGAGGAACTTTGGCACTCCGATGAGTCTTCTATCTTGACAAATACATGGAGATCTTCCTCCGTGGCTCCTTCACCTTCTGGTGCATCAACACAACCACCCTCACAAACAAAGCCACCCAAAGCGCCGTTGCTCACCTGCGTCGCGTTCGCGAGCGAGCAGTCGCTTGGACATCCAGCCTGTGGTGTCAAGTAGCAGCAGTAACTGTCTTGTTGCACCAGCCATTCGTCGACGTCGCAGGCGCAGCTGCCTCCTGCAAGATCGGCAAGATCATGGGTAGTTCGAGAGAGCGACAAACTCAAGCGGTCCTTGGACACAGCTTCCAGCGCAGCGCGGTCCCTTGGTGCACGGGGCAGCTTGCTTGCACCCTTCTGTTGTATCGGTAGCTCAGATGTGGCATCCAAGGCTCGCATACTTCCTGGCAGGCTCGCTTGCTTCGCAGATACTTGTCTGGAATGGTCATCAAGCCGCAGGTTGGACTTCTCATACCGCTGCATCGCCAGTCTGTGTCAAAGCCCTTGGTATTGGCAGGATCTTGTGCCGAGACATGCCGTCTTTACAATGACTAACCTGTGCTGCAGCTGTTCGATGGCAGGCAGCATATTTGAAACAGCCGGTACCGATGCGGTCCATCTTCAGAGGGCTCTGGGCCTTTACAACATGGTCTTCGGTGATTTCGCTGGAGGAAGCGTCGAAGCATGGAGGTGGGAAACAGTGGCCTGACGCACCTGGAGCACCGAGGACCAATAAGCCACAGCTCGTGCCTCGAAAGAGCGAAGCAGCGAAGCAGAGAGGTCAGAAGGCAGCCGAGTTATGTTGTTAGCCGCCGAGTTGCCATCACGGTCTGGTTTACCAACTCCACCAGCTCCGATGGGACTGAATCGATATCAACCATCTCGTATCCAATCCTTCGGGGAAGTCAGAACTCTTGCTCAACAGCGCAATGTACAGCCTGAAATGAACGACACTTCGGCAATCAGTAGTGACAGTTCGCACCGCACAGCGACTGGTGCACACGCATATACACTGACACTAAGCCAGTTGTTAGGCACGTCCCTGCAAGTGAAATCCCCTCACAGTCGGCACCTCATGGGGCCCCAGGTGCCAGCCTCGGGTGCGCTGTTTTGGCAGCTGCTGGCAGGAGTTTTCAACATTTTTGCAACGAGGAGCTGTGTGAACCTCCTCACATGTAGCAGCATCTTGAAGCCTCCTGCCAGCCCGAAACAGGCAACAACATCAGCAAAATGGAGATGAAAGGGTCCTCTCATGGTGCTCCGAGCTGCTGTATGCCTGGGAGACCTTCTGAACGACGACGCTTGCTTGGAAATCCTGCTCGGATGATAACTCGACAAACAACGCACGCAAGACCTCTTTTTCGGGGAACTAGCACACCGAACATACCTCACTGCTGGCAGCATGATGTCTTGGTTCGCGACATGCCGACTAGCTACAGCTCGACTCGTGACGAAGCAAAACCCGGACAAATCTCGAGGACCTCGTGCGGGCTTCCCCGAAGTCCTCACACGCACGTGACAATGATTCACTGGCCCAACGAACACAAGTTGACGAAAGGCTCACCGAGTAATGCTGTCCCAGAGTCGCCACAGAAGGATATGCAGCAAGAAGTACAAGAACGAGACCATTAGCCCATGTCAAAGGTGCATCTTTGATTCAGGCCATGAGAGCCCGCTGAGTGTACTAGCTTGCCGAATTTTTGGGATATCATGCGAACATGTGATCCACAAGTCTGGGTCTTGGCATGTTTGATGCCTTCATTTTCCTGCCGTTGAACCAGAGAAATCAAGCACGTCAACAAACAAACAAGCAAACAAACAGCGGATCGAATGCGCCAAAACTGCATATCAAATTGCGCATGCTTCACTTCGAAGTAGCGGCCCGCAACGGTTGCCTGTGCAAGCAGTGCAAATATGATCTCGCACAGCATTGTGGACATGCCCATCGTCTTACGAACTCAGATACGGACGACATCTGGTCAATGTTGTCCCGAGCATCCATCCTGCAAGACTGGCATCCACCTACGAGCACCTAACTCAGGAATCTGACACCAGGAAGCTATGGAAGACTTGGGCCTGACAGCAAATCCTGTGTTGAAAGCCATGATGTATGGCGACGATCAGGGCGACATAGCAGGCGGCCAAAGCCAGTCCAACTCTTGACAACTTGGGATTGGCTAAAATATGCAAACTGACAAACTATGCGATTTGTCCTGCAAGCTGCAAAGGTCCAGCACAATCATGCCAAGCATGTTAACTTTGCATCGCGGCCTCTCTTAGACAGCCAAAGGCTTCGAGATTTGTTGCTGACAACAATAGGTGGTTTTGAGAAAGCCCAAAAGATATGGTATGTGACCATGCTTCGCCCACAGCAGGCTCCGACATCAAACATCTTTGTGAAACGAGCAATTGAACTTCGTCATGTGAAACATTGCCCCGCAAGGCTCGACATGTCTGGGTTTCGTGAAAGCTTCTTGATGTAACTAAAAGTAATGAACAAAATTGCAGTGGTTGCAGTCTCGGCCAATCTGATCGTTCAGTGCGCCGTCATTCGAAACAGCACGATTTGTGATGAATTTTCAAGATGCGAATCGTGATTCGTCAGGACAAAGCCAACGAAGAATTGAATTGTGGCTTTCGACTCCGATAGTTGATGCAAATCACATAAGATGTCAATCATCATATTGGAAACATAACCCAATCACGAATATGGAAATATTGTGAAACATTCTGCCAGGAACACCACAGCTACTGCAATGTTGTTAATGTAAAAGAACAGCTGAATCACGACGTGGCTGCGGCTCGAGACCCCAGACACACTCTAGCAATGACAGGAAAAGTATCGTTTTTGTGACTGCATAGGACAGTGAAGCCCGTTCTTTAACATGGTAGCGGAGCTGGGATGACCAGACATAGAATAACAAGAAGTCTGCCACTTGCCCTTGCCCGATGTGACGGTTGCAAGGAAGAAAAACACAAAGTACCACTGCAGGACTTGTGGTGCACAACTGCAGGACTTGTGGTGCACAAAGAAACAAAAGTTGTCAAAACAAAATGCTTTGTAGCAGCTTTCACCACTGTGCTATATGGAGCAATTGTGGGAAGCAGAAAGACCTCGGGCGGAGTTGGAGTCCATCCAAACTGCAACTTCAAGCCCACAAGTTCAGATTCGAGTCAGTTCGATCTCTCATCCGACGTAAAGCTTAGAGTGGGTTGCTCGAATCCGTCTCAACGCCAGAGCTCAGATTGACGTGATTTGGCTCGACGGATCGAAATGAAAACCAATGAATCCAGAAGTTAAATAAAAGTAAATCTTGATTTAATTGTTCGGTTTTGACATACCTTGGACCTTCCAAAGACACAATTAAATCGGGTTGTAATTGTGTCGGTATGCATTTCTCTAATAAACAATTAAATCATGAGTTTACTGTCTCCTGTGTGCCAGTCTATTCTACCAGAGACTTGTGTGCAATACGCTCGGGGGATATCACATTAATTCATGATTTAATTGCAGAATTTGCGTCCTTCTGGGTAACCACCAGTAATGTAGTTGGTTCCTATCACGGTCCAAAGACTTATAGCCTAAAAGAGTCGCCACACTAGCGGGAATCCACGTTCAATCATGATCTAGTTGCCGAATTCGTCCTCCTTGGTAACCACCAGGAATGCAGTTGGGGTTACTATCACGGTCCAAGGACTTTTAGCCTAGATGAGCAGATCCCCACAGTAGACTTTTTTGACTTTGCAGCGCTGCTCGGAGTCCGAACGTAGCGAGTCGCAGGACATGCGTATTGCACGGCGTTCAGGTAGAACGCTCACTTTGTGATCCATAGCAGAGAGAAAGAAAGAGAGCGGAGCCGTGCGCCGTTCCGAAGAACCAAGCACGCACTCCAACAGCGGTGTTCCCCGGCCCGAAGACCCGAGAGGGAACTAACACAGGCTGATTGAAGGCTCATCGTATCAAACAGCGTCAAAGCGGAAATAAGGTATACGAAAGAGTGTTGAAATAACAGATTGGAGATCCAGCCTTCAAAACAGCTTATGTAAAGTTGAAAGAGTGAAAGAGGCTGACATGGCGGAAGAGCCAGTGTGGTAATACAAAGTATGCATAGTGAGATACAAACAGAATGAGTAATCAAAGACAATCGGGCATAGGGCCATGTCAAGTGATATTCAGAAATGCTGCCCGTGGTGACCAAAGCTGGGTCCCAGGAAGTGAACCATGACATCACCATGAAACAAACATAGCACAGTGCGGGGTCCAGGGTTTAGGACACCTTACAAGTCAAGTGGCAGCGTAATGCCTGTGGCCATCAGTCCACCGGGCACGAAAGATTGGCTTCACCAGCTATTGAAGATCGGAAGCATAAAAATCAATCGTGGTGAGGGATGCCGCCATGTGAATGAGATAAACGCCAAGCATATGACAAGATTACTATTTTTCAATGATAATCAGGTGATAGGAAATCCGAAGAGAAGATTGCTCAGCATTGGTATCTCAACTCACCTTACAAGTCAACGAGCGGCAATTCGACGTGAGGCCTTCACGGCCGTCTTGCACCATGCTCTGTGAAGCCCCAGACCCCAAGCCCTATAGCAGACATGCCAGCAGTATGGAACCTCTAGTACAATGAGACCTTCATGGTTGCCTCAGAGCATGTACAGCATGAAGGAAACGTAAGGGCCAGTGTATTCTGGCTCCGGTCCGAACTCTCGCTTGTCGCGTCCAGAGTTAGAATACGCCTAGAAATGCAGTAAACAGCATACCGATGAAGCTCAAACCACTCATCAGCGACAATGAGCGAGGGCATAAACGCTGCCAGGGGTCGCTGACACGCTGATTGAGTGAGGAAGAATCACTTCAATAAAACACAAGTATCAGCATCTGGTATAATAAAGGTAACGGAGACCGATAATATGAGATCAATCAGCATGCAGCACATTACAAATCACGCAGCAGTATGCTGAAGGCCATCAAGGCCGTGTGGGAGGTCGTAGTGTCAAATTGGATTGAGTGCTGCCCAATCAATACCAATCCACAGCCTAGAGAGGAAATCAGACTTCCTTCCACACACATGGACTTCACTCGTGAGAAGTTCGATGCATGCAGAGGCGCAGGCTTGTCAGGTGAGCCTCATGGCAATCACACAGCACATAGGAACATAAAGAAGTATCTCGGCCCATATGGCTTCATGCACCTGACGAATCCTTGGCAGAAGACGTATGGCCATCTTGGCCAGTGTAATTCTCCCAGTGACAGCTGTAAGCCGGAACAATACATCAAGGATACCAAGTAGAGTATGAGGCGGTCGAGTGGGGGAAGAATCACGGTGTGGCATGAAACAGTTCAAGATCACAAGAGAGTGTCAAAGGCACAATACATCTCGCGAGGACCGAAAACCGAAGCATTGATTAGATGATCAATGAAACAAAATGAGCCGTATCAAGACTTTGCACTAGAGGGTCACTCGCCGTAAAACAACAGTGTCTCACGCTCGCTCAGAAAGACGAAATCCAGCCGCAGTGGCCGATGAGGTCAGAAAAGTCATCCTGCAGCTGAGGTCGAGGAGCGATACAGCCCAAGTAAATAGCAACCACTCTCAATCTCAGCATAGTCTTGTGCAGAGGCCAAATAAGGCTTTTGGGCATCGTTGCATATAACAAATTTCCAGCCATCTCGAAATCCCAGTGAAGTACCAGGAACACATAGGGCAGTTTTGTAGTGACCAGCAAGCATGGTAGAACCAATGTGATATATCACAAAAGCAAGCCGACAACTGACCATGTATGTAGACGTAGAACCAGCATTCTCAAACACCGGTGCAGCTACTGTTTGGCCTGGACGGATGACAACCCTATCAAAGACCTTGCTTGCTCCGGATGCAGTAGGCACAAACCGCTGAAGCTGCAAAACCATGCCATGATCACTACCAAATGTAGAAAGAGCACGGACAAACGGTTGCCAAACGTTTGGTCTGACATCATACTGACCTTCCCACATATCAATACAGGACTGAAGATCGGTGCCCAACCTGTCCAGGACCAGAGGAATCAGCAATGTACCACGTTCCTGAACATGAATACCATGCTCATATTCTGCTCGGGACTGCCACAGACCTGCAAAAACATTCGGAGCAGCCTTGGAGAGGAAGTGAGTGAGAAATTCAGCTGCATCATGCTGTGCATGAGCCTGGGGCCAGTCAGCAAATACCATCAGCCACGGCAGGGAATTCAGAAGAAGAAGCATCCGGGCTCCAAGCACAACACTCAGACATCCAGAGCACCTGCCACCAACATGAGTATGATTTTGATATACGTATCCAAGCCAGGCAAGTGAAATGGCAACCGCGTTCGCATAACAGACGTTGTGAGGATTCTGTAACATCATGTTTGGCGCCTTGTAAAGTCGAGGAGGTCGCAGGGTAGCAAGGGCAACAGTAGAACCGGAACTCATTGTCCCAACAGCTCGCCCAGACGCTTCGCCAGAGGCGAGCGCCCCAATCTCCCCCTCCGGAACCGGCCCCCGATCAGCTTCCAAGCCGTGCAATTCACAAGTTGACGAAGCCATTCGTGAATATTCTGGGCTTCTTCGCCCACCGTCTCGACTTCCAGAACCAGACGATAGACCT